AGCTCTCTCCGGTCTTTTCCTCTGCTGCAGCCACACAAGCTAGTTTTAATTTCTTGCTCGGTCCGTTGAAATTCAACGCTTCGGAGAAAACCTTTTGACCTGAAGGATTCAATTTATTGGACCTACTCTTGTACCACTCTTTTCTTTGACCATACAACCCGTATAGGAATGAGAATTATTTTTAAGTTTTTCGGGGTGAGAAATTGCCACCGCAGAGAGCGATTTCAAGCAATTAAGAAGTAAAAAGCAGGCGAAGGGCACGCAGGCAGCCATTTCCATATACGCAGTCGCCATATAATATTTAATAATTCTGGCCCTCTTCCAGCAGCGGCAGAAGTCAATTGCGGGTCACACACGTACACATACGTTGCTGCTGGAGAGAAAGAGGTGGAATTATATTATTGCATTATATCACAGAGGTCATTCCCCCCGCGTGAAAAGCAGTCACTTTCGCACACAGCTGCTGGCACTATACAAAAGTGCAGTATGGATCCATAGCGAGGCGGACGAACCGTTAGCTACGCGCACGCCTAGCAACTCCTCCAACGTACGAAGAGGCCTCTTTCTTTTTTTTATTAGCGGCAGGAGGATGCGCGAATTGGCGTGTGCCTTATTATCATAAACGCCACGTCGCTTCATCTATCAAGCCGGCAGTTTGGGAGTTGGAAATCTGAACTCCTCCAGGCAGCGCAGCAATCGTGCGAGTCACTCTCTTTTTTCTCGCTCACTTGCATTACGTCACTCTCGCACCCCAATCCATCCGAACCATCCCCCTGCTCTCATGGATATTTGTAACTCTCCCCTGCGCCAAAAGTCCGTGCTTCTTTCTACTTCTCTCTTTTCCCTCTCCCAACAACAATTCTGTTGAGTTGCCTCACAGCACTATCACTACCCTAATCAATATTCCCATCTCGAACGGAACAAGAGACAAAAAACAGAGAATAAGTGCGATCGACTGACGATTTGATTAAGCGTGCAATTCAATACGACAACGTATATAAAAATGAATTCTCTTCTGAAGAATGAGGATTTATTATTTATCTGGCGGTCTACGCTATAATGTGTTGGCTTCCTTTGTGTTTCTGGCAACACAATGCTGCACCTGAGGTGGTAAGAAAAAGAGGAAGACACAACCCAGGAATAAAAGAAGAGGCTGCGCGTTTACAAAACACATTCCCAGCTACCCCCACCCCGCCGCGAGTTCTGTGTGTTTTCTGACTGCTGCGTGAGCCTGACCCTACGCAACACCACCAAGACAAATTATATTATTTCTGTGGCCATTCTCTAGCTCTCTCTTGCGCATCTCTTCCTAGCGCCAACCACACTGTATTAATTACTAGATAATTATTGCGACCTCAACGTCCTTGTTTTACCCGAGAAAACGAACCGGCCTGGTGTAACACGGGACAGCCCGGGTTTATTTTTACCTTCTAGACCCGTTTCTCAACAGCTCAAGGCGATTTGGAAATAAAATAACTTTGTAACCGCGCAATGCAATTAACTTGGTTATAAAACAAAATGGTTAACTTGTTAAAGGGTTTTAAATGTATCAAAATCCTGATATTGTTGCGCAAGAAAAATTATAAAAGACGATTTTAAAATTTGCCGACAATTTACGTTTTAAATCAAAATGTGGCAATTTCTTTTAGACAGTCTAAGTAAAGTTAGACAAGAGCACTTCTGGGGAATAAATTTATTTGCTCGGTAACGAAGAGGCCGTCGATGAATAATTCCAGGCGAACACGGGCCGAAATTAACAGCGCCTCATTTCCATAAGGAAGGATTTTCCGTCCTAAAACGATTAAGACGTGCATTGAAATTCAAAGCAGGCGTATATGTATCTGTGAGCGAGCGCGGGTTGAAAGGGTTAATACCCAATAAAAGCTCTGTGTGTGCCGTTGGCTGCAGGGCCGGATTAAGTTTCGTACGAGAACTTCTGGTTTGATTGCTTGCTGGTCATGCGTTTGTTTGCCGAGCGCGAGTAATGAAGTAGGCAGCGTTGCCAGACGACAAACCACGTGTTATGCATGGGACACATGGCCTGCGCTGGAGTATGTAGTAGTGTCACATGAGCCATCTGCACTCGGCTGCTGCATATAAGGGCCCGAAATAATATAATGCAGAGGCTATTGCGAGCCAGCGGAGTCGAATTTCAACATCCCTTCCTCTCCGCTGACTGATAACACAGAACAAGAATCCCTCACAATTTTTTCGGCGGCCGGCCAGTCTGCCGGCGGGAGAAAAGTTGTGCTTTTTATCGTCGGCCGAGCGAGCTGCGGCTTTTTGGAGGAACACAATGCACCGAGATAAGGCCATTTATTATTAAAGTGGTGACTCAAGAGCTGATTGCGACTCGCTCACGTCAGCAGCACCAACTCTCTCTGCCCAATGGTTCATAAAGACTCTTTTTTTCTCTCTCTCTCCGCTGAATGGGTCTCTCCCCGAAATTGACCCCAAGAGCGTGATGCCCCGCTCGTTTCTAATCTCGCCGGTCTTCCCTTTTTGCTTTTGCTCGTAATTTTGGCGCACTGACCGAGCTTGAAATTCGAGCCGTCAGCGCAATGTCACCAAAAGAAATTTCGCCAACGCCACAAAAAGCGCGCAGACATTGACCATAGGGCGATAACGATTTCGTCAGAAATAGCTGCCTGCTGCGAGAGAGCGTTAGTTTTATCTAATCTTTGAAATATGAAATATTAATACTGGCACACAAAAACCAACTCATATATGCGCGGTCTTATCTACACACACACACATATGAACCAAATGAGGTGACTTGGAGTGCAGAGAGAGCAATTGCTGCCGCTTTAATTGTTTTTCGGTCCGTTATCAGCGGCACAAAAACACCAGTTGAAAGCAGCAGGCCTGAAAATTTTATTTTTGCACCTCACGCAGCAGCTCGCGCGCGGGGAAAAAACACGTCACCCGAAATGGATATTTATCGGAATGGTGTGCGCGGCGGCAGTAAATCACTGGGTGTGTTTTGCTCAAGTGCGATGCTTTCAGCTGATTGCATTGGCCCTGTATGAAGTAATTACCCACCAACGCGATTGAATGCTCCGGAGTCACGTGAAGCTGATAATGCGCTTCCACAGATAAACATATAGGCTAGTCAGCGCGCGAGCGAGCGCCTCAGACAAGCAGGAGCCTGGCGCAAAAATTGCTCATTATTTAGCGTCTGTGCGCGGAGAAAAATCGCCAACTAAGCAGCGGCAAAGTGCAATAAAAGGGCGGCAGCCGATTTGAATGACGTGCATCTGGTGGAAAGACAACGTTAATGGCGTTTGGGGGGACGCGAAAAAAAACATAATCGGCCGAACGCGCCCCATACGCGTACGGGTTTCTGATGAGTCTTCACATTTTGTTATTCATAGAAAAAGAAGCTGCTGGCACTGGATTTTACTGCTCCTTTTACGACGCGTCTTCGTCTGGTTTTCGTTCAGCGAGCTGCATACATCTAAAAAGGGTTGGAATCCTGTTCCGAATTGGACAATTATGAGGGAAAATCTACTCAACCGGAAAAATGTTCTGCTTAAATTGCAGTTCTGGTCCTTTAGTAATAAACGGATTTTCGTGACGTGGAGAAAAAAAAATAAATGAGGTTGCTCTCAACATTGAATAAAAAAAATTTGTTGAGGCCTACTTTAACGTACTTTTAAGCCAAGCTAGTCTTCAAATTTATAATTTTTATGAGAATATGTACTCAAGGTTCTTTTGCTATTATATTATTAAAAAACTTTTACTTCTTTAAATTAGTTTTCAAGCACTATAATCAATTATTTGCTTTATATTTCTCAGCCCCTAAGAATTTTTAATAGCCTCTCGGTCCAGAAGCAAATGACTTTTGAAGTATGAAATTCACATGAACTTTTGTTTTAATTCTCAACGTAGATAAAAAGAAACTTCAATCGGCAATAATTGCGACTCGTTTTTAATATTTTGAGAGCCACAGTTGAGGAAAGTTGGCTGTGGGATTGCAACACGCCCTGCATTTTTATCCACGGGAGGCAGCTGGATTCAATGTCAAGGTTGGCAAAGAACTCTAAAGAAAGACTGGCTTTGATTCCGAAATTAGTCTATGAAGACTTTCGTGCGTGAACGCCGCTTGCCTGCTTATCCCACCTGTCTTGCGAACTTCCTCTGACGCGCCCGCACGGCCAAAATGGAGGCGCGACGGGGGCGCCCCAAAAGCTTGCGATCAGGCGAAAAGAGCGATTGCGGAATTACTCCATCGTACGCCCAGGCAAGAAAGTGAAGTGTCGGTGCGCGACGCGAAAAATAAAAAGAAAAAAGCCGGGCCTAGCAACAGCGAGCGGGTTTGTTGCGCGCCGGCTGGTCGTGCGCCCTCACCTCCGTCCGTGCGAGCGCCCACGGAGTTAGCTCGAGGTCGGGCCGCTCTACCACTCGCCTCTCCCAACAATCGATAATCACAACAACAATGGCGACGGGCAAGCGCAGCGTGTCTGCCAATCAATAGGATCGTTCGCCGGTAATCTGCTCAAATTCGGCCATTCGACTGGTTTAGTTTTAAACACAACTGATTTTCAAAAGCAAACAAGATAAACTTGTTTGGTTTTTTCTTAATCTTTTAAGCTTTTTTTCTTAAATTGGCCAACAATGAAATGTTTCACGGCTTGAAATAAGCCCACTGAAACCACACGTGTGCGTGAAACCAAAGGGACATACACTTGTTAGTTTTTTTACTAATATAGTTTTCAAACAAAATTATTTGACTTTATTTTTAAGGTACTGATTTTTACCGAATAAAAATTGATTTGACTGATAATCCATATTAAAAAAGAAAATATCTATGCTTCTGTATTTCCTTTTCTAACAATCAATTATTGCTTACTCAGACAATAATTATGATTAATTATCTCTGAACGTTAACTTTAAAAATCAATCAGCGCAACCCCTCATTGTTCAAATCGCCGGACAAAGTCTGGTGCAACAATGCGTATACGTGACTGGGGACACGGATAAGGGCTTTCCTGACTCACCTGTTCTTCTCAAGCTCATTGTGGGTCGTCCTGCAAACAGAAGCGGAACGAAAAGTGTCATTAGCAAAGGTCACGTTTGGATTCTTTGGCAGTCTTACCTGTTCCCCTGACTTTTCTTATTTTTCGACCTCTTGTGGTGTGAGCTCCGCAGGTCGTCGGGCATAGGCTCGGTCGTCGCGTATCCATGTTCGGCTTCTGCAACAAGGCAAAAACTGTATAGTACAAATGATCACAGGTTGTGCGCGGATTTCGTGCTTCCGGCCCTCTGCTTATCGACCACGCAGAACAAACACATAACGAGGAAGTTTAGGGTTTCCTTCAGCAACAATTTTCTTTATCGCACGGCAGCCAAGCCAAAAATCGAGGCCCATTTTTTGGCTGGCGTTCAATAACTGATTCCGAACGCAAGCGGGTTAAACAAAATTAAACTCGCGGGAAGAAAAAAATATCTCCAACCATTTGGTCAAGCCGATCGTTTATCGCTAGAGATGACAGATGTTGAAACTCCCAGAAGAAACTTGGCGGGTTTGCCGCTCGAGCTATAATCGGCCAGCAGTAAACACTTTTTTCTTTTTTAATTAGCGACGCAGAGATAAGGCTGCAAACGAACAACACCCGACTTGCTTAGAAATTAGCAAAGTCTGACCTCGATTTGGGCAAATGGAACAAATTTTGAGGTACACCATGTACCGAGAGTACATTGGCGCGGGAAAGAGAGATAAAGACAGGCCAAAACACCTGGCCCGCCACCGAGAGAGAACGCGCTCAAAAATAGCCTCCTTGAACTTTGGCCAAACTCGTCCGAGACCCAGCTTACATAATCGCGAGGGAAATTTAACCCACAAAGCAAAATATAATGCCAAATCCTTGTACATTAGGTATTAATTAGTTAGCAGTCATTAATGATTAAAAATTAATGTCACATAATCATATAATTAATTGATAATAAATTGATGACCATAAACAATGTAACATTGTTAAATAATTGATGAATACATTATTCAAAACAGAAGAAATTTTGCGTCCACGCCGCTAGGGTTTTTGTCAAAAACTTTGAGCCGCGACGCGATCCACCCCCCCCCCCCCCCCCGTGGGAATGTGTGATTTCTCGCCGGAAAAAATATGAGGTAAACGATTTTTGCATCGATTGAATATGAAGCAAGGAAAATTGAGCATAGAGTAGGGCGCCATCAAGACGAAAGTTCTTATGCTAAATTTGATTACCATGTTGCTGAGTTTTGGAAATTATAATTTTATTTAAGACATAATAAATTCATTAAATTAATAATCTGCTTTTTTTTAAATCTCTAGAAAATTTATGTGATCTGATTGCAAAAAATCAAGGAACAGAGCCTAACCAACCTGCAGAGAAATTCTTTGAAGTCGAACAGAATATTGGAGCTGAAAAGTCAACGCCGCAAAATAAAAAGATAGGTCTTCATGTATTTTAATATGAGACATGACCATATTTTAAATTCATAGAATATATTATAATATTTTACAAACTCCAATATTCCTCATTGTCAACACAATTGGAGGTTTTGTGTAAGACTGGCCTGCCTTTCAAGATGCAAGACGATTTCAAGAGACAAATGCGTCCATTGAATAAAATCCGATGCAGTTTGTCAGTGACATGAATGTGATAACTATAAATTTTGTGGCAAATTATTATTTTTATAGGAAAGTTTTTTTAATAAAATATTAAATCTTATATAAAAACAAATTATCTTTCTTTCAATTTCATTTTCAGACATCATGGTATAGTTGGAATGGATTTGTCTGCAAACTTGGGAGTATCTTTGATTGGAATGTCAATGTTTGTGAAATTTTAATGTAACGCACTTATTTGTAGTGATTTCAATTTTATAATTAAGTTGCCACAACAATGGGACCAAAATTTTGTAAGATAGAGCAATTTTATGGTCAAATTTTTTCCACTTCCACGAACAAATTTAGAAGAAAAAATTAATATGAAATAATGTAAAATTATTTTAAATTACATTTTGCTTTGCGGGAAGGGAAGTTTTAACTTTGGGCCCCAGAAAAGAAATGTTCCACTTTAATCAAGAGAGATAAGCGCGCGAGCAACGACCCGTGTATGTAGTATTATAATTTGTCGTGGCGGAAATTAGAACGGAGGTTGCGATTGCCGCCTCCGAGAGGCCTTTTCGCGAGTCTTAGAGGCGGTGGTAGGCAGGTGTCGTCGGGGGCTCGGGTGGGCAGGAGGGCCCCAAAAGGCGCGCACATCGGCCTCGGAGGGAAGCCATGTTGTTTTCACACGGGACGGTAGGACTGGGTAGGACGCAATTGCGGTCGGGTACGCACCTCTTTCTCGTCTTTCCAAGAACTCCGCTGCTTCCAGAAGGTACGTCAGACCAATACTCATTATTCGCACAAGGAAAAGTGGCACGCGAAAAAACGCGACGAGGTGTTTGTGTTTTGGCAAAGGTGCGTTGAGCCCGAGCACACACGTGTGTTGCGGCGAGGTTCGCTCTCAAGCGACTGAAAACAGCGCGTATTTATTGACGTTAGTGGCAGGAGGGCCGCGCGCCCATTGGTCCACGCGGTGACGGCGCTGTTAGCTCGCGCCGCCGACCAATCGCCAGCCAGCCACAACAGCTGGGCGTCACGTGACTTTCATGCTTTCCTTTTGTGCTCGCCGACCGCCCGAAAGCCACCCTGCACCGCGGCAGGGTTGATCCTGCCGCCAGTGCCGCCCCCCACAAAGCCAGTTTGCCGCCAAAATGTCTATGATATGCCCCGACAACCTGAACCAATCGCACCGAAACCTTTTTACGATCTTTTTTTCTTATAGTTCTTAATATTATTTTTGTGTGTCTTCTCATTTGACACATCAAACTTGAATGTCATAAAGTACAAAATAATGATCTGGATTTACTCGACCTTAATCACTTATTTAATTGCAAATATTCTTTTATTGCCACTGTTACTTTAGATTAAACAAAATAAAGCCCTCAAAAAGCTGTTAAAATCATTTGGATTTAAAAAATATTATGATTACAAAATTTGGAATCTGGGGAAAATTATGTATATAGTAGAGAGCAGTAAATTTAACTATTCTTTTTACATCCCACTTGAAAAAATTTGATAACTTACGATAAAATTTATTTCCGGAGTAAATCAAAATGAATAACTAAAGGAATTTATAAATTATTTCTTTCTATGTCCTTTAAATGATAAGTTTTGAATAATTTTGCTGCCATCGGAATACTACGTAAGAATAAAGTTTATGGCCTGAATTTTTAAGCCATGCTTTAATGCAGCTTTAATGGTGGATTTAAAATTTAATTTTAAATATTAGAAGCATTGCTTCTACTTTGGGAGATCTTTAAAATTTAAAAATCACACTTACCTTAACAATTCTCTATATGTGTTCTTGAGGTTGTAAATCTAGGAGAATGAACACATAGAGCAATACTCTATGGATGGCTTTCAGCACATGGAGCCTTGCGTGCATTGTAGGAAGCAGATGAGCACTTCCCTCCTGCAATTTTCAATTGTTAAAAAAATTAAAATGCAAATCTTGTCAAATCACTGTTAAAACATGATGAGAGCGGTAGTAACGGCTGATGGGGTGCGAAATTTCAGAAAGAAACCTGCAAAGCAGGTGAGGTCGTGGAACGTCCTTATCATTTCCAGGGGCAACTTCTTTTAGGACTTGCGAAAATTTCTGCAGACAAACTTTGACCAGCTCTTGCTCTGGTTTCATTTCTGAAAGTGCACCAAGGAGTTCATCGTCTAGACTTGGCAAAGGTGGATAAGTGCCTTTAATAACACATTCTTCGTGCTTTCGAAGAATAGTTGCGATACGAGCGTAGTTGTACAAGCAGAAAACAACACCTTTAAAACAAAAATAGGATTATAAAACATTTATGTGGAATCAATTTTTGTAAAAAAATTTTGAATCAATTTTAGTTCTAGTTCAAATCACCTCTGTTGCTTGATCCTCTGTTGGCAACTGGTGGAGGACTGAAGTCCAAATTTACACAACTACCGGTGTTCTTACTCAGCAATTCATATTCAACAGTGGCCTTTGCCAACTCCATGTTTCCGTCTACAGACAAAATGTCTTCTTCTCGCATCCTAGATAAAATTTAAATGGTCAAAATTAATTTTTTTGCAATTTATATAAATATTTTCTTTGCTAACCGTAAATAATCTTCAAAGCAAATATCTCTCTCTTTTTGCTTCGTAGCAATGTTTCTGACGACTCCCACAACAACTCTTTTGCACTGATCATCTTCTAAACTTTTGGATGAAACCGAGTTCAACGTTAAAAGCAAATTAAGATCAGCTTTGTGGTCTTTGTTGACATTCCATCCGCAGCTCTCGTAGATTTTTGATATTATTTTCTTGATCAATCCAACTCTGTGCCATGAGAGGTCAGAATCATCTTCTAATTCAGCCAGTAGATTCACACTCTGAGAAATCAAATTACACAATTATTTTAAGCTGCAAAATTGCCCAACAATTTTAGCAATTAAGGCATGAAAATTTCTCCCTTAAGGTTTAAACTTACTTTATTTGTTGAATGAAAGAGACTGATGTCTCTAGTCAGTAAGTCTTTTAGGTTTTTGAGGCACAATGGTTGCTGCAAAGAACAAAATTGAATGTTGAAAAATTAATTTTTATATCCAGCATGTTCTTCAATAAAACTTTTTGACATAGCGGGTTTTAAGTGAGAGACGAAATTCCTTCATAGAAACTATTAAAAAAGCGAGCAAAAAGTAAACAAATGCTAACAAATTATATTTTGATCGATGAGAAATTGTGTTAAGAGCGTATTTAAATGACGAACTGATTTCTAAAAATTTTCTGCACCACCATGTGGTTGCTAGAGCTGTCAAAATAAGAGAAAATAACCTGTTCTGTCATATTCCAAGCGTAGCAATGCCGACAAACCAAAAGCCGAAACCAATCTTTAACACTCTCCTTCCCTAAAAAAATTTGTCTCGACCTGTTTGCGAGAAAAATTGCAAAATTAATGAACACGAGGACAAAATCTGCAGCGGTTTTTGCGAATTCGGGTGAAATTTGAAAGATGCGCAGCGTGATGCGTCGTTGTTTATGCGTGGCAAGTTCGAACGAGAAAAAACTCGCACGCTCATTGGCTACTCTTGATCACGTGCAAGGAGCCGATATAAATACCTCAAAATTTCCCCTTCCCTATATGCCTCGGATAGCCGTGATAGTCTAGTGGTTAGGACATTGCGTTGTGGCCGCAAGAACCCAGGTTCGAATCCTGGTCACGGCAAAGGAAGTCCCTTTGCACGGTAGAGGCATTTTTATTATGCGATAGAATAAAACGGAAGATTATGTATATTGTATTTTAATAAACTATTAAAATAATTAAAACTTATTTTTTCCCTTTAAATAATGTTAACTACTATTTTTTTTCTCCACTTGTAAATAAGATAGTTCTTAAAATAAATAATAATCCTCTATATTACTCTGGCATAACAGCAGTACTGTTATGAAATAATTAATTTATGCACCTATCCCTATTGCAACTATTCCAAGACAAAATATTTTGATCTAAATAAAACGATTAAAAGGAAGCAAAAAGTATTGAAAAATAAAACAACTGTTTTCTTAAATTTACATCATTAATTTATTGCTCATGCTTCAGTGTAAGTATAAAATAAATAATAAAAGTTTCCAAAGTGGCAAATTTAATACACTTTAGGATACCAATCATTAAAATTTTCCAGCATCTTCTTTGAGAGTGACAGTTCTGTTGAATACCAGCTGGAATAAAAAAGAATTAAATTTAGATCTTTAAATTTTTTGTAAACCTCACCTGTTCTCTCTTAGAGTCTGGATCTACAGAGAAGAAGCCAAGTCGTTCAAACTGGAACTTGTCATAAACCTTTGCATTTTTAACAGAAACGTCAGCCAGAGCAGTGATACTGGTGAGGGAATCTTTATTGCAGTCACTCAAGAATCCTCTGGGCACTTCATTAGGGTCTTCAGGATTTTTGTGCTGAAATCTGGCAAAATGCAAGTTGTAAAAAATCATAATATAACAAACTTCTTTAATTACAATCTATCATAGAGACGAACTTCCACTTTGATTGGATTTGAAACCCAATGAACCCAGGCTTTGGGTTTTTCAACTTTGTCTGCCTCCACACACTCAACTTCCAGTTTAGTAATGTTTCCACTGCCGTCCTTGACTGCTTTTTTCAGGGTGATCACATAGCCAGTGTGACGAAGGCCCACAGACTGGCCAGGCGCTAAACGTCGATAGCCTTTTTCAGGGATCTGAAAATTAAAATTATTTAAAAAATTAAGCTCATAGTAAATAATTATTACCGACCTCTTTAAAGTCAGATGCCTCGATGAAAAGATCACTGGCAAAAGGCACTTTGTGACTGCCTCTCGCAGGTTCATTGGGGAAATTAGGCACATCACAACTGATTGGTCCCTTTGCAGGGAATTTAGTTATCGAGACAGCTAGAGGCTCAAGGACAACCATGCATCTCGGAGCCGTTACATTCAGGACATCTCGAACACTGGCGTCTAGAGCTTGAGGGTCCACCACCACCTGAGCGCCAGTGAGACCCATTTGGGCACAGAAGTTGTTGATGGCCTCAGAAGGAAAACCTCTGCGGCGCAAAGCAGTGAGTGTGAAAAGTCGAGGGTCATCCCAATCTGAAAGCATGTTACTTTTAGAAATAATCCCAGATTTGAAGTTAGCAATTTACCATTCACAATCTTCATATCAATCAATTTTGCAATTTTTCTTTTTGAGACGACAGTGTAGTTGATGTTGAGTCTTCCATACTCCCACTGGACAGGGCAGTACACCTCCAACGCATTGCAAAGCCAGTAATAAGATGAGCGCCTTTCAAATTTTTTTATATTAGTATTCACAAGGCTATTGTATGCTAAAAATTACCTAGACTGGAATTCCTTTGTGCAAAGTGAATGGGTGATGTGTTCAATTGAATCACAAAGGCAGTGGGTGTAGTCGTAGGTGGGGTAGATGCACCACTCACTGCCAGTGCGGTGATGCGGCAGGAATTTAATTCTGTAAGCCACTGGGTCCTGCTTGCCCTCTTCCAAGGTCACTTTCATCCTCAGGGTTGCTTCACCCTCTCCAATTTTACCGTTTTTCATGTCCTACCATAATTTATTCAGTAGTTTAAGTTCCAAATAAATTGATACACACCTCAAACAACTGCAGGCTTTCTTCGACCGGTCTGGTCCTCCAGGGAGATGGAGGAGGGTTGAAACCTTTCAGCTCTTCCGGTTTCTGATGGCAAACATAGGCCAAATCTTTCTTGATCAACTCCACAGCCCATAAATACAACTGCTGGAAATTGTCTGAGCTGTGCGTAATCTTGTAAGGCTTGTACCCTGAATTTAGTGTAAAATCATCGATTAAATTCAATAATTTAGCAGAATAAAATCTTACCTAGCCATTCGACCATGTCTTTGATGCCGACAAAGAACTTTTCCTCCTCTTTCTCAGGATTGGTGTCATCATAACGCAAAAAGCAAATGCCGTCATGTGCAGCTGCATAGCCAAAATTAATGTTGATTGCTTTGGCATGCCCAATATGCAGAATTCCATTCGGCTCTGGAGGAAACCTTGTTCGTACCTGCACATTTATAAATTTTAAAACTTAAAAAAAAAACTTAAGAAGAGAAAATTTTTAAATAAGATTTAGAATTTCATAAAATAACAGCTTAAAAAAAAAATATAATATAAATATTTTCTCACAAATTCCATTTTACAGAACTAATAATTTCATAATATTCTCATAATAAAAATCCTTACCTTTCCTCCTGTGATTTTCAGGTGTTCCTTTAAAAGCTCCATGGTTTTTGGAGTGGTAACATATCCATCAGTTTTGTAATTTTCTCCTGGTTTGTGGAAAAACACTTTTGTTTTCAGAAACTCGGCCATAGTGAGTTTTTCAGCAGGTGCCTCCGCTGCTGATTTTTCAGGTTTCTTTTCCTTTGGTGGTTTTGCAGCCTTTTTGTCATTCTGCTTTGGAGCTGGAGCTAGATCCTCATCAGTCTTTGGGCCAAGTAAGTTCAAAACCTAAAAAAATAAGTCTTAATGTCCATTTAAATACAATATTAGTATTGAATTTTACCTGTAAATCAACCTCGCTTCTCAGCGCCTTTCCGTCGGCCCACTTGTTGAGCTTTGCTCTTGCATCCTGCATGATCAGTCCAGTATTGTATCGATACCTTCATTTCTTTAAATTAGCAAATAATATAAAACATAACAATTTTAGCACCTTTTTTCAATCAAAGCTTCTTGGTGCTTTTTCAAGGCCCCCTCCACGGCATTTTCAATCTGTTCCGGAGTGACCACAATTCCAACACCTGCCGCTTGTTCCAACTTAGATTTGTCTACTGAATTTGGATTTGCCAGAAGATACTCCAGGGCAGCTAAAATTATGTTTTAACATTTTAGCATTTAGGGAAAAATACAAGCAAGTAATTTGTTAATTATTGAGGACGGTTTGGATTTAAATTAAATTAATAAATTTTTTATAGGTCTATAAAAAAATGAAAAATGTTCCTGCTACCATCAATTCTCAGAGTAGAATCCAATTTTCCATCGCCAATGTAAGCTGCCACGAGCCCAATGTGCTGAGTGATTTGTGCCTTGATTTTGGAAGCCAGATGGTACAAAAGAGCCCCATTGCTGCTGCTAGCGTTGCTTGTCTAAAACAATACAATTAAAATATTTAATATAACTAATCAAAAAAAAAATTAGGATAAAAATATATATTATACCGCAGAAATTGCAGTTCGCAAGTTTGCGGTGACAACTTTGTTTTTGACAGTCTCTTTGATTTTCTGCTCGCTGAGGCCGATTTTGGCAAAGAGTTCTATGTCCGTCTCCTCCGGCATCTTGTTAGGAATAGGATCTGTCTGGTGAATCTGGTGATGTTGCAGCAACTGATGAACGGGTCACGACGTTTTGCATCAGCTAATTTCCTCGCCTTTCAACCTTTCGCAGGCCTTTTATGAAATTTCAGCAAAAACCAAAAGGACCTTGTTTCACGTGTGTACGCCGCTCGTTCGGGAGCGCGCGAAAGAGGGCTCTGCAAACACGACAACCAACAAGACGACAACCACCTATGAAAGCTATGAAAGCAATTATCTGGTGACATCTGGCGGATAAGGGGCTCAATTATCGTTTTCTGCTTGTTGCTAGGTGGCGTTTGGGATAGCGATTGCAACAATTTATGCAGGAATTTCGACCCCCACAGGCGCGAAATTATTACTTTTATTTCGATGGTGGCGAGAGTCCTGTTACTCATTGAGAGAGTGTGCGAATGCGAATCCAACGCGCAATGAAATTTATAAAATGGCAAACCCTCATTTTTTTATATTGACAAACATGTGGGATTTTTGAAGAGGAAAAATTGAAGTTAAATTAGGTGATGAGGAAAAATATTCCATTATTCCAATACTTATAAATCGATCGAAGTGTGCGCATTTAAAATAAGGTGAAAGTTGTCGTGTATTTTTTTTTTCGCTTTCTATAAATGCTATTGATTCATTAATTGCTCTAAATTTTATTTTGCCTGTGAGGAAAGAGAGGAGACCTTATATGCATATATTATAAATAAAGTTTTCTAGCTCAACCTTATATAAATATAAAGCTTGGTGATTATAAATTTTTTTAGTCTGTTTTATTAATTCCCGCCACGTTCCCATTTCTCGTTTGTAGTAATGAATTAAAAAGTATTAAAAATACCCTAAAATTAAATCTTAAAATAATTTTTCGAAATTTTCACCATAAAAAAATATTGAACATGCATATTTTACATAATGATTTTGGACACCTAATTATTCAGAGGAAAATTAAAATATCCATTCAGGCGCACCTTATAATCAACTTTTGATTAACAATATACGCAGTTTGCGCGGATCTTTTAATTTGCATGTCACTTTCTAGATTATTCATTTTGGTCGAGTGCTCATTTGCGTGTGTGGAGCACGTTTGTAAGTTAGCATTAAAAGGACGCAAACATGCTGATCATGGTCAAGGTCGTCTGCTTCTCTCTTTCTCGCGAGACTCCACAATTTCGCGATGATTGCGAATTGAGGCCTGCAACTGTACCAATTATTAGAGACCACATTCCGAACGGCGCCGACTTCAGGCTTCAAATATTTTGCAACCAGACTGGGTTATTCCAAACTCCATACATAAATGAATAAAAAGCAGCGTCGCCAGGTGTAATTTGATTTGGAAAGAAAAATACAGAGGCAGAGTGCAAATAATAAAAGCAGAAACGTAGCCATTTTTCTTTTGTATGCATAATGAAATTTGGCCAAGTGGAAGAGCTCAACAATAGAAAATCATAACACAGCACAAGTTGTGTCGTGAAGGCACAATTTCAGAAATAAAATTCTGCACTTTTGAGGTTTCTGCGCTGCGGTGCAAATAATTTGCTGCTGCTCACTCATGTGTTATGCAAATTGTTAGAACAGCAGGGGCCCGATAACAGCCTGCCGTCGGGCCAATGTATAATAATAAGAAATTGTCCCCCCAGCTCTTCTCTTCTCGATCTCTTCCCCAGCGAATTTTTTTTCCTTCCACGGCGTCGTGCGAGCGAATGACGCAAGTAGTGCTGCCTCCGCAAAACAAAACATGCACGGACGGCACGTTTATTGATTTTGATTATCTTGATTCTGAGAATGTGCATCCCATCAGCGCGCGGCCGACACAGACCGCGAACACTCTCGATCACAACCAATAAAAGCAGTGATTTATTTAATGTCCAGAGTCGATTACACTCGCCAGCAATTGCTACGAGCGAATATACCGCAATAAATCTCAATGGCTGCAAATTATAATTGTATGGTCTCCGAGTCGCGTCTCGCGCTTAACTTTCCGCATTCCAGATGCGAGCAAATTTTTCTGCACGACACACACAGGTGTCTTTGATGTAAAAACCAGCTCCCCACTTGGAATAAGAATAAAATGATAAAATACTGCAAAAATTCTGATAATTTTTAGACAAACAAAAATCATCAGATTCATTAACAGAGAAAGATAACGTTATCTAATTTAATAGGAGCCGTGGATTTCAAATTTGTTGATTGAAAGACAAACAACAAAGACAAGCAACAAAAATTTTCACGTCACCTCCCTCAAGTGGTCTTTGGCAACATGATGAGATGAAAATTGATCGCGTGGACTTTTTGTACTCGGCAACACACGTCAAGCGTAAAAATATAACATAATTTAACACATTATTGTTGGAACCGACCTCGATAACTGTTAAAATAAAATTTTCATTGATTAATGATTTCATTGATTTTTATAGCAAAAGAGCGTGCAGATTATTTTTTTTCCAAATAAAAGTAATATAAAATGAAGATTTAAATTAGTTTTGTAACTTGAGTTAATTTTTAGTTTTAATTTAAAAATTATTTTCTAAATAATCAACATGTAAGAATTTACTGTAAGCCAATGATTTCAAATTAATAGTTTGGCCAGGTTGAGCAGAAAAAAAAACAGTATTCTCAATTACTTAATAACTATCGCAATTACACATAATTATTTAATTATATTCGATTATATTCAATAATTTATAAATTAATTTCGTCAGGTTCCAATGGTTGCATTCAAAGAAGATAGAGCTGAAGAACAATGAAATCATGTATTTAATACAACATACAAGAAAATTATTTTAAGAAAATAATACTTAAAATTGTGTATAATTAAATTTGCTAACATCTACAAACACAACAACAACATTATTGAGCATTATAAAGTTTTACAACCCCTGCTATGTTATGATTGCTTATGAATATTCTAACCAGTTGGTCAACAAGGGAGGACAAAACCATATAACTTTTCATTAAATCTGGGGCGTTTGTTTGACGTTTGATTCATAAGCGGCTGGTGACTTTTCAAGCGATGCAAGTGCAGCCCAAAGAATACCCCCCCCCTCCGCTTCCCAAAAAATATTACGATACCTCGAAATTGGAGCCAGGAAAAATTTAACTTTAATCTTAAATACTTAAGAGCTGACCAAAACCACTAAAAAAAATATTTATTGCTAAACAAAATGCAAAATTTATTGTAAAATCTAAAAACTATAATAAATTGCGTCACTCAGATAATTATTGTGTCTGAATTTGAATCTGGGAAATTGATAAAATTATTTAATTATTGATATATTGATTACAATTATAAAACAATAATATTAATGCAAACGAGCTCTCAGCAGCGAGTGCAGTGTACGGGCGCCATAATATAAAGGGCAGTGCAAGCAAAGGAGTTTTCGCAACAACTTTTCTATTTTAGCAGCAATGTTGCAGCGCTGCAGGAATGGAGATGGCAAAGAGTGAGCTCTTGGTGTTTGCACTTGCAATTATGCACGCTTCCCAAGGACACCCAGGCCATATTGTTGTGGCATGACTTTGTTTTGCTGGCGAGAGCAGCTCTTGCGTGCGATCGAATGAGGGAAGAAAAGAAAAGAAGATGAAGGGCTTCTTCTATTTAGCAAAAGAGATGCTCAAGAAGCGGCTAGGGAGCGTCGCGAGGAATTTCGCCAGCGGCCGAGCCCTCGCTCGCTGGCGTGTATATTTTGGTGGTTCAGTTACTCCTCACGCAGGAGTTGGCTGCTGTGAATTCACGTGGCCCGCGAAGGCCGATAACTATGCTGACGTCATGACCCCTTTTGACGTCACAAGGTTTGTTGGCAAACTTTTCCCCAAACATTGTAATATACGCCGTGCGAGAGACTCTCAGAAGGGCACGGCTCGCGCCGTTTCCAAAATTCCAAGGTCACCGAACGTCCCGGGAAACGAAAATTTTCCAAAATCTCGCGTGCCCCGTTGCCGCGAGTGGTGAAAAAGGCGATAAACGCCGCCGTGTTTTGCATGAGCACGATAAAAACAAGACGAGAATTTCTCTATGGCTGCGCGCGGGGCGGTGGTGGGGGCAATATTTTGAGTTGAAAACACGCGATCCGCAGGAGGGGAGGCGACAACAACAAACGCGCCCATTGGTGAAGGGGTCGGGGAGCTCGGCTGTGATTGGCCGACACGGCGGGGACTCGTTGCTGAACGAAACGCGATTGATCTTTTTCTTCTCATGTGACCTTTAGTAGAGTAATTTCCTCGTCCGAGTGAATAATACGCGCCCGAAAGCAGCTGAATCCAGTTAATTCTGGCCCGATTGCGACCGAGGGAGGCGAATCCGAGTAGCACGACGGTTGTCACCGCACTTTGGCGTGGCGAAACATGTGAATTGTGATCGAGACCACTGCACCACACCAGCCCCACGACTCGCTCGCTGCAGTTTCTAGGCAGGACTTGCATCATCCTCGCGCTTTGTTGATATTCCACGTTTACACGTGATCGATCGTACTGGACACTCATCAGTGCTCTCGATTCGTCGCCACTGTTCGGTTCCGCCCGAAAAGCGCTGGAAATCATCATCGAAGAGGACACGGAGCCAACTAAGGTGAGGACAAAAATAAATAATTTAAAAATAATGCATTTCCGGTTATGTAATATTTTGTTGTGATGGTGTTTTGCAAGTAGGACGCTTTATTGTGAATTCGCTGGTGGAATTCCCGATTCGCCAGATGGAATTCGCAGGTTTCGCCACGGGCCTCGTTTCTATCGAATTCCGTGGCCTCATTTGGCTTGGCGACGGACGCCTCGTCGCGTCTCTCGCGGGGGCCCAAGCATTTATTTCGATCAAGGGGGACGTTTTTCGCGGAATCTGGGCGGAAAATCGATTGGCGTGGGCGCGGTGGTCTGTTTTGGTCGCGAACATGTGCAGTGCGAATGTAAACAGGAAGTGGCAGGTTTATCCTTGGGGTAGTCCCGTTGTGCAATGAGAGCGCACTTGCGAAAATCAATACTCTGTCGCCAGGGGCGCCGAGTGGGCGGCCGAGCTTTGAGCATTGGTCGGGGCTCCGGAGCCCCCCGAGGGCCTCCTCTGGCTCGAATTCGCGAGATAAACACGCTGGTGCGTTGTTGCCAGAATTGGCGTGGCTGTGGCGCGCGATGAAGCAGCATTTTGCTGCTTTGTTTACTACACTAGCATGGCGATTGCCCGCCCAGGGACTCCGCTGCCAACCTGACAGAGTTGCCCACTAAAAATAGTTCGCTGAACTCCTCGTATATCGACCGCAGTGCTCGCTCGGCCCACCCCAATGTATATTTAACCCGCACACTCACTTGCGTGTTGTAAACAAGCCGAGGGCCCCCTCAAAATCGCTTATTTTCGATCTTGGTGCTCAGACTGATGGCTTGTTTGTTTGAAAAACTGGTGTGCGTTTGACCCAGGCTGGACACAAGGCAACATGTTGTGACGCTCAAGAAGCGATTTCACTTTGCCCAGTCCATTAAAAATTGTTACGAGATTCTGAATAATTAAAAATGCTATCCTATTTGCTATTAAATATTAAAATATTTGTTATAGTTAAATTTAATTTCAGCAAAATTTATATTAGGTTCTATAAATTATTATCATTTTGAAAAAAAGGACAAAAAAATGATATATTAGTTCCATGTATTTATTTATTTATTAATGAATGATTAAAATTAATAATTTTAAAAATATGCAAGTAAAAAAATTATAGGATATTAAATTAACCGTTCATATTTCAATACTCATTATTTAAATCAATCCTATGATTTATACGATTTATAAAAATAAATTTTATAGTAATAACTTGCTTAGTGATCAGAAGTCGTTTTAAATATTTAATAGATTTACATTTAGTAAGAGAAATATATATTTTAAAATTTAATTTTGAAAGTAGCCTGCAAATTTTATTTGCTCTCGAAGATCCGGCAACAACCGTCGTCAACTTTCTACAGCTCGTGCCTCTCCTCACCAACCAATGAGCAGTTTTGATTCTTTTAAATTGAACCGTCCCTTCACCACTTGGGAGTCAAAAAGAAGTTCAGTCGCTTGTTTTGCAAGTAGCCTGACTACTGGGACACTAATTATCTCACAGCCGAATGCACCGTCTGCCTTTAAATAAGTGCACGTTGATCTATTTTTATACGCGTGGCACAGGTGGGGCCGACGTGATTTATAAATAGATTAACGCGCTCTGAATAAACTCTCAAGATCAATAAGAAGCAAACAGAGGTCAATCATTTCGAAAGCGACTGAAAAAGCGGTCTTGAAAATTATTTCTGAGGACATTTTTTCCTCCTTTCTAATTTTTTAATAAGAAGTTGTTTGCAGATATTTCTAGTCACTTGTTATCAGGCGCGATTAATCTGCCGCCTGATTAAAGGCCGTTCTATAGGATAGATGCCTGGATTGAGTAATTCCGACGTCTGATAATGTAAATTATTCTAATCCTTTGAGTACTTTATTTCCTTTTGTCAACAAAATTAAAAAATAAAACTACCATCTCTTGTTATCGCAATTGCTATTGTTAACCAAACGTGTAAATAGAGTCGTTGATCTTTGAACCAAACAAAGAGGCTCGTCTGGGAGGTTGTTAGGCTGTTTCCTGTGTTGCGTTGTCGAATTTGATTTAAATTCAAGTGAATTAATCCAATTGTATTACATGAACGGAATTAAAGATTCCAAGTCACAATTGAATCAAAGTCGCTATGGTTTCATAATCCTTATGTGGAGATAAGATTTCTTAGAATGTCTGAAAGTGCGTTCGACAATAGCATTTGAAATATAAAAATTACTGGAAATTACTTGAAAGCTCTTTTGCTTTTTTCATGTGCATTTTTTATTAATTTTTTAATGAAAGCGTTAGTATTAAATTATTCATTTGCAGTGATATTTGGTTTCAGATGGCAGACCCCATGTATGGGGGTGGCGAAATGTTTTTCCTGGACTCGCCAATCAAGCAAGAGCCAGGCACCCAGATGGACTCGCAGCTGAACAACCCTCTCGGCATGCCCATCCCCAGCAGGCGTGGGGGAGGCCGTTCAGGTCTTGCGGAGTTCAACTACGATTTGGACGAGGCTCTGGCCTTGGGCGCCCTTCCCAGTCTCGGCACGGGCACCATCAACCTCAACGCCAACCAAACTGGTGAGTTGTTGACCTCAGTATAGTGGAAGTTTTGAAACCAAATTCCGCTTTCGTTTGTAATCATGGTTGGAAGTTGAAATATTATGAAGGAATTATTTGTGGTTTCATGTCCGCTGTGATAAAGGGAAATGTGTCATGCTTGTCAATTGAATGTTTCAGGAAACTTTTTTTCGAACCAGTTGAACCAGGACATTTCCCTGACACAAGCTGTGACCGGAAACTACAATTTGGACTCAAATCCAATGGGACCCTCTGTTTGGGTTTCTCTTTGCGGGGACACTTTCAAAATGGACGAAGAGGATGACATTCTGCAGGTTAATTTCTCACTAAATTAAATCCCCTTGGTTTCATTCTCTTTATTTTCTAACTTCCCGCACTGAATGGACTGCTGAAATTTTTGAAAAAAGATGGAATGCTTCCAGGTGGACAAGGCTGATTTGATCCAGGGCCCAACTTTGGCCGAGTTGAACGCAAATGACGAAACTTTGTTGGAAGACTTGAGTTTCGACGACCTCATCTTGCCAGATGACTCAGCCCTTTTGAGCTCCATCACCGACTCCAATTCGCAGACCGCCTCCTTCCCGTCCTCGTCAGGACAGTGCTTCATGAAGGAGGCTACTCAACTTTCCTCCAGCATGCCAGCCAGTCAAAATCTTTTTGTTGGTATTCCGAGCCCTGGTGGGCAACAGACACCTCTGGTCCTTTCACCAAGGTCGCCAGCCAGGCCTGGATCTTCAAACAGCAGCACCGGCAGACACAGTACCCTTCACGAGTTGCTCATGCGCAGGAATGATCCTGATGTATGTATTGTTGTGGTGTAGGTGACTCGCATGTAATTCCATCATGTGTTGTGTTGCATAATCAATGACACACGGAAGGCATTAGATATTAATCATTTAGGCGGTGGAATTTGTATGTTCTGGTGTTGATTCATTTGCATTGTAGAATCGGATACCATGCAGTTCCATTTATTTACATAGATTTAAAAAAGAGTTAAATTCCCATGTCACCATGTCACACTTAATTTTATTAAGAATATTTTAATAATTCTCTCATCCAGCCTAAGTAATTGGTCCAAACATTTTTTTTTTCGAACAAGACCAAAAAAAATTTGCTACATCTGGAATAATGAAAACTTATTTTGGCTTATTTTCTGAGCTGAATTTAATTTTTTGTTTGATCCTCAAATTTCAGCATGCAAGTCAGCTGAGCCCTGGCAGTTTCAACTTACTGGCCTCCACTGCAGGCCCCAGCACCTCATCCATGTCTCGTCTTTCGTCCTCGGCACCCACACATCTTGGTTTTGACCAAATCTGGCAGCGCCGTGAACCGAGGCAACACCTGCTCTCCACTGGCTCTCTGGTGGAGGCAGGTTCCACGTCGTCTCTCTCCACAGGTGGCGTGCTCAGTCCCGCTTCCCACGAACTCTCCCACGATGAAGGTTACTCGGAAGATGACAGTGACCACTATGACGACTTCTCCTCTGATGGAGGTAATTTGTCCTCTTATCTCTTCAAGCCTTTCTCATTGGCTCAGAATTGTTTTTTGTGTGGCGCTGTAGACACGTTGTTGGGTGAAACCAGAAAAATTTTGTGTTTAGAATCAAGTGACGCCGAGGGAGGCAGCTCTGGTCGTGGAGGCCGCCCCAAAGGATCAAAGAAGGAGCGGTTCTTTTGGCAGTACAATGTGCAAGCCAAAGGACCCAAAGGACAACGCCTGGTGTTGAAGACCAAGCAGGAAGACCCTCATTGCTTGAACGAAGTCACTGACCCCGTCTTTAGTCCTAGTTGCAGTGTGAGGGGCATCAAACACAGGTAAATAGATTATTAAAAATAAAATTTAGAGCAAAGTCCTGAAGGTTGCTTTTGCAGTGGCAAAGCGAGGAAAGGTGATGGCAACGATCTGACTCCCAACCCTAAGAAACTGCACAGCATTGGAAAAGAACTGGACAAACTGGGCAGGATCATAAATGACATGACCCCAGTCAGTGAGCTTCCTGTCACTGTGAGGCCAAAGTCAAGGAAGGAGAAGAACAAGCTTGCTTCTAGGTATGGAATTTTTTTATTTCTAAGATGATTTGAAATTTAACAACATTGTTTAAAAGACTAATTATCTATAGATGTTGGAATAAAAAAAGCTGAAAAGATGCTATAATTCCAATTGTACAAGATGTAAAAGCAATAATTTTATTCCAATAATATTATTTCAGGGCTTGCCGTTTGAAAAAGAAAGCACAACACGAGGCAAACAAAATCAAGCTTTTTGGCTTGGAGAATGAACACAGTAAGCCACTTGTAATTCATTTATGAATAAATAATCAAATAAATTTCTAGAACGCTTAATTTCTGCCATCCAACAAGCAAAAAACATGGTAGTGACCAGTTACAGCAACGATTCCAAGGAAGTCCGAGAGGAAATTGCCAGGAATGTTGAGAAGACGAGGCGAATGGCCCTGAGTAAATAAATTGATTTAAAAATTTCCAGTGTGATAAACGGTCTGTATCTTGATCAGGAACACACATTGCTGGAGTTTCGACTGATTACGTGAACACCATCTTGGAAAAAGTGAAGTCTGGCGTGCCTGGCGCGGGCCTTGAGGAGATATGAGATGAGGCCAAGCCTCCTTCGAGGAGGCGGGCGCAGTCGCTGAAAATTGTGCCGGAGTGAAGGGGACACATCTAGTCTGGTCAGCGCCTGCTGCCCCTTTTACTATTAAGGAGTTGAATCACAACAGTGCACCAAACCTCAGAAGAAGCTTGTCGACAGATGAAGAAGTAACTATTCATCTTATATAATCGAAAATCCTCTCGTCTATATTATTGTAAAACTTTTAGCCCAAATGGGTTGTATTTAAAAAAAAAAGCGCCAGAGAGGTAAAGATGTTTGGACATGTGTTTGAAATATCAACTGGCTGCGTTTAGAGTGATTTGCTCTCTGGCTAATTTACAAAATTCCAACAACAGAGTTCCCTTGCTAAATTAAAATTTAAACCATAAAATTTTAAATTCATTCTGTCAACAATTCTTTGTAAAAATCTGCCCATTACAATTTGTGATATTGGCTCAAAATAGGAAGTACACAATTAAGAAATATAAATATTTATTTTTGTCTGAGATTCAATTTTTAAACTAGCCAGAGTAGAACGATAATAATCTAGAATTATTCGTAACTTTACTTAGATTTAGTAGCTTCGGTAAATGTGATAAAAATTTAGTTCTAAGGTGTGCTTTTCTGGCATTACACACATAGGCAGTTCACTTCAGCATGCATGCTTTCTTGGAACCGTTTTCAGGTCAATTACAAGAAAATTTATTAAATACCTCTGCAATTCCATCTTCAAAACACCACAGTTGTATCTATCAATGTATTGTAACTGGCTGTCTGTTCCAGAGATATTTTAAAGTTAATCAAACACTTTCAGATAAAATAATTTAAAGATTTAGACTTGAAATCTTGCACGTCAGGAAGAGGCGTTCTGCAAATTATAAGCATTCAGATAATTGATTGTAATGGAAAATTAAGCATGTTGAAAGCTGAATGTGACGACCTGCCATCATCAACCTACAATTAGTGTTTAATGATTAGCATGTAAGCCAACACATGGATGAATTCCGAGGAGCAGATATTTTTTATACACAATTTCTTTTACTCTATAACTTTATTTTGGGTTTTTTGTAACCGAGCAGCCGCCTACTTTATCTCTTTGACATAAGTTGTTTACTTGTTCACTTTAGAAGAAAGTATTGCATGGTATTTTCCTTATGATTATGTAAATTTAAATTCTGTGTAAGCTAGTCTATTTATTTCAACTTTGTAAATCATGCTGTTACATTTGCAGGTATTCACTCGAACAAGCCGATTTTTATTGTTTTTTGTAAATACATCTCTCTCAGCCCCTTTTACAATTAGAGTTATCTCCATGTTTGAAATAGCACTGTGCTATTATGCAGCAAGTCTAATTGCCATAACTCCATCAAGTCTATTTATTCTCAGCCCATTTGATTTTTTCTTAATTTTTAGTCGGTAACGGCAAGTAGAGGTGAAGGGTCTTTTTTATTTTGTATGCTACTTGAGCAACTCATAGATAGAAATCTAGTTTCTCATTTTTACACCAGCAAAGTGCTATTTTTTTCTTTTTAATTTGTTGTTTTTCTTCAAACAGAGTGGAATCAATTAAAATGCATTTCTACCTAGGCTTCTATAATACGAATGAGCCTTCTGCATTTTTCTCTTGTAAACAAAAACTACCGTTTTACTGTATGAGCATAAAAATATATGAATATACTTGTATTAGAATTTTACAAAAGAACTTGACTAGTACAAAGATTATGGATTGAAAATAGAGACCAGAATATAGAACCAGAACAATGCAAACCTTGCAGAACTTTTCCACTTGCTCTCAAAATGCATTTTAATCCAGCCACTTCTTGAAAACAACACAATGGGGTTTTTCTATCTCTCCCCAGGTATAAACTTCCTCCTTAAATAATGTAGAGCTGTTTGGAAATTTTTGTTTTGAATTGATTTACGTGTTTAAAAGTTTTGATCAAAAAAGCCTGTGACAATATAGTATATCATGATAATTCCCTATCCCTAAATACTTGAAAATTTTGTCTTTAGATTTCAACACAAAAGTTTACATTTTGAAGAAAAAGAATACCTCAAGTTTTCAGATTATTAAATGTAATGAAAAAATCAAGCCTTGATGATAAGAATTAAAAGCTAAATTTAAATTACCGCGTTCTAGCTTAAGAAAATTATGATAATTATGCTGTAATTCACGTAGTTTCGCTCTGAACGGCTGCTTTAATTGTAGGCAATTAAACTCTTCGCTCTTAATCCTAAGTGTAATGCTTAATCGACTATTGCGTAATATCCAACCGACCTTGAACTTTTGACCTTTTGCCCACTATGTGGATTTGATTTTGTAACAATTGTTTTTCTGCGACCTTGCTCCGAAATGGTCAATATAGTAGCTTGATCAGTGATGAACTTCATTATTTGTGAAATGGAAATTTGTGATCTTTTTTAGACACCGCACTGGCTAGCGGGTTATTCTCACGCTCGAAATTGGTTGGTTGAATTAAAAGTGGACTTTGATGAGTTTGGTCGCAGAAAAATATGGCATGGAAACGATCGCGCATCTCAATTCAGAAAATTAATGCTTAATTGTTAAGTGAATTGAGTCGCCCATTCTTAATTTGTATACCTTTTGTCAAAGGAAATTTTCACAAAACATTTTCGGAAAAACACTTCCCTCTTGTATCCCCTTTTGGTATGTTAAAAACGAAATAAAATTCATGTTGAGCATGGCAAAAAAGAGATCATATTTTATTTAATAAATAAGCACTCTAATTAATTATAATAAACATTATTTTTAATCTGAAAGTAAGTTAAATAAACTTGTATGTGAAATAATAATTTTTATAATAACACTCTCCGATAAGAAAATTATTTTACACAGAAAAAGGTCTTCCTAAACTAATCAAACTTGTCTAGTGCTGGTGAGGAATGGGTCAGTCAAGTTGGCTTGGCTACTTTTGTGTCGAGTGGAGGGTCCTTCTTGACCAGAGATGCTGCCAGGAGGGCTACAGCCGTCACCTGAATGGGGATGCTGGTAAAAATGGTTTATTGCTTTCAAAAATCTTTACCTTCGCTAGAGGTGCTGAAATCGAGAGACTTGAACCGGTACGCCGGCTCCTCGTGCGTTGCTAAATCCATACCTGCAAAAAAATTAATTTTAGAGGAATTGTTATTGAAATGGAAAAAATTGTTATACCCAAAATTTCCTCGTCTTCACTGGGTCGCAAAATTCCAGTGTACTTGAGGAACATGAATATGACGGCAGTCATAGCCATCGACCACGCTGTGATTGCCAGCGCGCCAATACAGTTGTAGGCCAGAAACTGTCCAGCCTTGATTTTATCACTCAAAGCATCGTCCCGCAGAACCGAACTGGCCAGGAGGCCCCATAGGCCGCCTCCGAAGTGAACGGCAATCGCGTTCAGAGGATCGTCAACTAAATAAAATTATCAGAAAAATATTTTAATTGTAAGTGGAAAATTACTTTCAAGTTTTTCTAGAATCTTGATAATGACGCTGTAGATGGGTCCTCCGCAAAGGGCAATCAGCCAAGCAGCCCAAATATCCACTGTATCACAATTAGCACAGACGGACACCTGAAAATTGGAATATTTCAATTTAACGCAAATTAGGATTCCCACGGAAATAACTAATTAAAAAAAAAAATAGGAATTTTCCATTCATTATCATTAAATTATTATTTTTTTAATGAAGTATTATTTGTTTAATATTGAATTATGATTGTTAATATTGGATACCATTCCAAAAAGTCCTCCATTTACTGCGTGAAGGTAGCTCCACCATCGTTTGCCTCCGATCAGACCAACCCTAGCCGCGATTAGACCACCCATTGCTCCACCAGCTCCAGAGAGAATGGTGTTGATGATAATTTTGGCAACCAGTTCTCCGTCACCTGTTTTTGAAATGTGCAAAACAGCGCCGCCATTGAAAGCCAGAAAGCCAACAAAAAGGATCATTGCGCCAAGTCCAAGCACCTATTTTTTTTTTTTTTATGAGAAATGAATTTCGGGGTTTTTCATATCTTTTACCGGAATGTTGTGCGACTCGAATTCTGAAGAGTCCAGCGCGGGTTCACCTTTTCTGGGGTACTTGCCGTACCTCGGGCCAATGATAACGCAGGCCATGATGGCACAAGCGCCGCCACACATGTGCACCACCCCGCTCCCGGCGAAGTCCTTGAAGCCCAGCACGTTCAACCACCCCTCAGAAGTCCACGCCCAGTGAGAGACGATCGGATAAGTGACCGCTAACAATTAAAATTGATTTCAAAAAAGTTGCACAAATATTCCTATCTCTAAGCGCAACGCCTGCCAGAGTCAAGGTATGCAACCTGCTGGGCACCTCACGCGTAAAGGCAGTGTGATCTGATCGTTTGCTTTTGACAATGAGATGTGAGGTTGCTGTCAAAATTTTTCAGTAATGTTCTGTCAATCTGAACTATCTTGAAAAGAGTCACTCAGAGTGAAAAATTTTTTTACTTTGCTTCAAAGAGCGTTCAAAAATGTTCAAATGTGTCATATATAGATAATTTTGTTTTTGAGTAAACGCACGTGCCATGCACAGATGCACAGACAGGTGAAAACAAATATTATTTCATATTTGTTATTCTAAAAATTGATCCCACAGTGTAACTATTGTGACTTGCATGAAACGGTATGATTATAAAAAGCTGACAATCTACTGAAGCGAAGAAAATGTTTATTGTCCTGCTCATTGAAAAATTGCTTTTTTCCCAAAACCAACAGCAAACGGCTCTACCGGTATCTGTTATGGTCAACGATCCTAGTTCATAAGCAATAAAAAATATCCATAAAATGTTAAAAAAAATCACAATATTAAAGATGATCAGGCGTTTGGTCGTGAAATATATTTACACTTTAATATTTCTGTTTCAAGAATTAATTTTATTTTCTTTAATAAAGCAGCTTTTTCAATTATGTTTATTTGGTTTGTTTTTTGTTGTGGTCTTATTGTTAATAGATTTTTGGAGTATTTTCATTTTATTATCTTGTTAACGATTTTTTTAGTTTTTTTTTACTTCTTATACTGGCTGCGTTATGACAGTAATACTAGAAATGTTACATTTGAAACTGCAAGAAAATAATTCTTATAACAATTGACTTTCGGAGAAATTCTAGGCATGCTCACATTGCTCACCATTATCATCTACATATTTTAATTTATGTCTTTATTTAAATTAATATCTTATACTTTCATAATACTTTTCAACTTTTAATTTCCGTACTTTTACAATGCGCTTTAATTTATGACCAGATATTATATAAAACTCACCTGTGGTAAGGAAGCTGTAGATGAGGTAAGCCACGAAGGAGCATCTTTCCACGATGACGCCGGAAATGATGGATGAAGCCGTGGCGGCGTAGGAGAATTGAATAAACCAGTTCGAGTACTGGAACTCCTGAGTCAGTCTTTGTCCCGCTATGTACGGGTACATTCCGAGGAAGGATGAGCCCCGGCCGTAAGCCAGCGTGTAGCCAACAATCCAGTATCCAAAAGCGCCGAGAACTAGTAAAAATTTGTGATATTTTTCCCCAAAATTAAATACTCACAAAGGTCCAGCATGTTCTTCATCATGACAGAGGTGGCGTTTTTCGAGCGAACTGAACCAGCTTCCAAATAGCCAAATCCCAGGTGCAAAACTGATTTTTTTTAACAAAATTATTTTTATGAGATTTTAACTCGGAGAATTTACTGATGACGATTATTCCCATGATGGAGGTGAAAAACGCGTCCACTTGAGCGGCAAACTCCTCAACCCGAGCTTTCAGCATCAGAGTCTCGTTCAGGGCGTATTGATTAGGGCTGAAGACGGTAATCGACGCGTTCGCCACCAAATCCATTTTCGTTCCTGAATAACGTCTGCGTTTCTAGTTGTCCGCGGGTAACTGGAGGGTTTGCGCCTGAACTGGGTCCTATTTATTTCACTTATTTTGACATTGAAGTGTATGTTTGGCGTGGGGATAAAAGCGTTTATTTCGGCACCGCGGGACGCTGTCGATAGTCTTGCAGATCGGATTTTAGTCACTATCTTCACTCAAGAGCGCGCCCCTCGAGGTTCTGCAGTGTCACCTTTAATTTTCTACGACGTTTCTTAAATGACATTTTAAGCGATAAGAATAAGCTTGTTTAATGACTAATGCACAAATAATTTTTGGCACAACTAATATCACATTTTGAGTGGCCTGCGGAGGTCTGTTGATCAATATTTTTTTGCTGTGCGTCTATTTTACGTTGAATTTTCTGCCAGGGATTAAAAATATTGCACATCTTGCCAGAAAATTGAACACTCGCGCTTGCTAAAAGTGTTTTGCGATGTAAAAAAACTGTGAATTTCTTCCATTCTATTAAAAGAAAGGTTTTAAAAATGAAAAAAGATACTTCAAAGAATTATATTTTCAATAAACGGTATTTAATTTCAACGTACACATCTTTTGGTTCTTGTAATAATATGCAATTAGTTTTTTATTTTATTTATTTTTTTTTTGCTTCATTTTAATAATATTGTATAATTTCTAATGTTAAGGAGCGTCTTCTGCTAAGAAATGGCCCGATCAATTTTGACCAAAATTTGAGTCTACATTAAAAAAATACGACGAAACTTAATTAATGGTGACAATCGGCAACACAAGCCCTGATTTAACTATATCAACTTAATATGAAACAAATCTCTTGACAAAACTGAAAGGAAATATTTGAAATTATTTAAAACGTCTTTATTTTTTCATTCCATTTACTAACAATTAATTATAAGAATACATAGCATTCAAAAATTAATTTAAAAATGGTTATTCATAATCATAATCTTATTATGAAACATATTTATTTAACAATGCATTTTGAAACTACTCCGGTTCTAGTTTGTGGAAAACTTCTTTAACACATTCATGAATAAACTAGTGAAATATATGCCTAAAACTGGCTTAATTTGGCTACACTTGTGATGAGGGCGAATTTAGTGCAAAAATCATTGATTCTCCGTCACGCAACTATTGGAAGATTTTGCGACTCTTGTCTATTGAAGGGAATTCGCCCGCTGAAATTAAACATTTCCGACGACACCGTTGGGGTCATCGAGCCATTTGTAGTAACTGCATGATAAAATTCAAATAGAAACCCTTGATGTGTATAACTTGATTGCAACTTACATAAATTTTTGTACTCGCCGAGGTCAATGTCCCTCAGGGTGAACCTGTAGGCGGGCTCGTTGTGTTTGGCCAGGTCCATGCCCATGATCTCCTCCTGCTCCGTGGAGCGGAAGAGACGCAGCATCTTGAGCGGGAAAAAGATAATGAAACTGCACCCCATGGACCAGGCCATGATGGAGATGGCACCGATGATGTTATAACCCAGGTAGATGCCCGCCTGCGTGCCGTTCAAACCAGGCAGGGCGTTGTTTTTCAGCAACGGACTGGCCAAAACACCCCAAAGGCCGCCACCGAAATGCACAGGAATGACATTGATGGGGTCGTCCACTACATTTGCAGAAGGGAAAATATTTAATTAAAGGGTTCAAAAAATCTTCAAACATTCAAACCAGAATTGTGTAATATTTAAAGCTCTAGATATTTGTTTTATTGACAGGAGCTCAATTTTTCAATTGTTTGATCTTATTAGGGGTTGCTAGTTTCTTCCGAAAAAAAAACTTAAATATTTCCATTAATTATTAACGTGATATATAATAAACAAAAATTTTCAATCTTTACACAAAGATCTGTCGAGATTTCCATTACTTTACGATGAAATTTTTTTTATTTTTTTTATTTTTAATCAAGTTCCTCTAAAAAGATCATTGCTTAAATATTTTTACCTTTCAGCTTCCTGGTGAGGTGGTGGAAACCAACGTAAATAGGAGCGCCCATTGCTCCCAAAATAAACGATGCCCAAAGCTCGATTTGGTCTGCGCTGGCACAGCTAATAACCTTTAATTTAAAAAAATATATATATATATATATATATATATATATATATATATATATATATATATATATATATATATATAAATTTACTTTAATTTATTGCTTGAAATGTGGAAATATCGGTTTAAGCCGTTGCAAAAAAACTGAAAATAATGATCATTGAACATCTCCTTTGCTCCCTTAAAAACTGACGGAGATCAAAAAATTAATTCGTTTACCAATCCCATTAGCCCGCAGTTGGCAACGTGTCCAAAGCTCCAGTAGCCGTGGCCTTTGAATGCAGTTGTGTTGAAAGCGCCTGCCTTGCTGAGAAATAGGCAACTGGTGGCGCACCCGCACGCACTCAGTAGAGAGACGATGATGATTTTGGCCACTAGTTCCGCATCTCCAGGCTGCGAAATGTGCAAAACGGAGGCAGCGTTGAAAGCCAGGAAGTTGGTGAACAGCAACATAGCACCCAGGGCACTCACCTGAGAAATTTTGAAAAAAAAAAAATCGGTCACTGAATGATAAAAAAGTTTTGCAGTATTTTTTTAAGTGAATATAGAAGTTCAAATTTTGGTCTTTTTTTGTTTCGATTATTATTAAAATTGTTATTTTTTTTTTACTCTTTGCTTTTAGTGACAAATGTGACATGGCAATTCAAGAACACTCCGCCTACTTGCGTAATCAAATGACCGACAGTTGACCACCAAGGGCGTTGAAGTACGCAGTGCAGTGCGTCAAGATGTGTCAATCACGTTTATCTTTAAATAACTCCTTGAAACTTTCGCTCACATTTTTCCAAACAAAAATTTCTCAATCTGAAGTAAGACATACCGGCGTGTTGTGTCCTTCAAAATTTTCATCAGGATCGAATTCGTTCTTCTTACTGAAGCGGTTGTAGCGCGGCTCGAGAAGAATGGCCGCGACTATGGCGCAACTTCCTCCGACGAGGTGCACCACGGCGCTCCCGCAGAAGTCCTCGAAGCCCATAACTTTGAGCCAACCCTCAGGTGTCCACGCCCAGTGACAAACGATGGGATAAACGACACCTGTTATAAAAAGAATTGAAAGATTTGTGAATCAAATTGATAAAATAATTACAAGAAATTAGCGAGCTGTAGATTAGGTAGGCGATGAAGCTGCAACGCTCGGCGACGGCGCCGGACACAATTGTGGACGGCGTGCTGGCGTAGGAGAGTTCAAAAAACCACTTGGCAAACATCTTGTTTTCTTGCAACTTGTAGCCAGCGACGTAAGGGTAGAGACCGGCAAAGGACGAACCAGTGCCAAACGCCAGGGTGAAGCCGAAGAGCCAATAAACGGTGCCACAAAGAACTGACAATAAATAAAGGAGTGCGTTGAAAATTTTAAACATTTCGGAAGTGAAAAATTTCCTTACAAGAGTCCATCATGTTTTTCATCATAACTGAGGTTGCATTTTTGGCTCGAACCGAGCCCACCTCCAAATAGCCAAAGCCAATTTGCATAACTAAAATTCAAAATTGTTTTTCAACATTTTACAACATTTGGGATTTTTGTCTTACGGCTGATGAAAATTGCCAATGATATTAAGTAAAATTCATCGAGGATGAAATTAATCTCCTTGATTTGCTCATTGATTAAGTCTAAAGTGAGGTTCTGCACGTCTGACGAATTTATCTCATTCACTGAAATAAGTTTACTGAGTCTATTGAATCAATTAGATAAATTGCAGCTTACTTGCGAGTGACGGGCAAGCCAACCTAGTCTTCTGGGCTGAGCACGATTTTCTGCAAACTAACCCCAATTGCTTCCGCGTGCCCATTATATATTTTTGCCAGGTTCCCCACCATTCGTCTGCTTTTGACATTTTACTTGATATTTTTTTCTCATATTTACGATTTTAACAAGTTTTGTTTTGCTATTTTTAGACTTCTTGCGTATACTTCCTCCGCCCGCCTTGGAAAAGCAAACATAAATAATGTCACTCATTCTGTTTGACGTAGTGATTGTGAGTTTCATGTAGCGTTGAAGACATTCTCGTTTGACGAAAATGCCGGTTTAATAATTTGCATTATTATAATAAGTAAATTTCGTAAATTTATTCATTGTTTTTAGTAAATTATCTCTGAGATTTTGAATTTTAGTTAATTGGAGAATAATAATTTTTATTCCTCCTCTGAGTAATCCGCTCGTTTTCTTTATTTAATTGCCTTAGGAAAAAGAAACCGTGTGGATTACTCTCACAATCAGTAAGTTTGGAAACAACCACCACGTATAGGAAGTTTTATTAAAAAAATTTATTTTGAATTTCATTGAATCTTATCTAAACATTTCAAAAAAAAAATATATGGGAATTTAGATTCATCATTAACTCACAAAAATAATTATAATATAGTATGGTCTTGTTTTACCTTCTTTAAAACTTAAATTTAATAGTTTTATTTTTCAATTTCTCCCTTAAATTAAATCATTAGATTTTATAAACGCAATTTAACGTTCTTGACCTTATTTGCGAGCAGAAATGTTAATTCTTAATTATATAATAGAATTTAAAATATTTGTATAAGCCAATAAATCATACAATATAAAATTGATGTGCGCTGAATTTTTACAAAATTTAATTTTTAAATCTTAATTTATAGTTATCTATAAATTGGCAGTGTTGCCAAGTCGCTTTTGGTGCTCATTTATCACAACCAGTCTCTCTTTGCCTACATTCCAACTCTTGGAGAGCACTGGCCTCTTCTTGCCTGCACTAATGACGAGAACCACGTGACTCAGCAACGCCGCTTCGGGACCTTCCTTTTTGCTCTTTTATGTATCAACTTGGTGCTCCCGCATATAAATTTATCAAGGATGCAACCGGCAACAAGAGGAGGCAGTTAGTAGTTTGCCGGCCGCGCTAGTGATCGTTTGGTTTGAACCACTTCTGGACGAGAGCAGGTGGCTGTGCTCACGTGTGCCAAGGTGAGAATTCTCCACGCGATCTGCGGTGCCAATGATCCGCACCGCAAAGCAAGCTCTCATTAATAAGATATATTGTGAATGAAATTTATTCACGCAGATATTCGTTTCAGATGCCTAGCTGTTCAGTATTATTTCTATGCGAATTATATTGTATTTAAGTATAATTATTTATGATCATCTGCAATTTACTATATTTTGTGAATTATTTATTAAATTAAGGGATGATTAAGATTAAGTATATTAAATATTTTAGTGATATTTACATATTTGTTACATAATTATGACTTAAAGAATTTATTATTTAACAATCAACATAAATGTCTTATGTAATAGAGAAGAATAAACGATTATATATTTTTAATTTAAACAATTCATGAGAAATAGAAATTGAGATAAATTTTGAATATTAAATCTTTGCATGATTTTACTGCAAATTGTATAATTATGCATTGTTTTCGTTGAGACTGCAACTGCATGCGACCAGTTGTAGAGTAAATGGAGAGTGAAACGTGAAACACAAAAGATAAGAAATATGGAAATGTTTGTTTCTCAAGTTCAAGGATACGCGCCAGTATATTTCTTGGAAATAACAAAATTATTTGTTCTCCCAAACGATAGCAAATATTTGCCTGAAAATAGTAATATAAAAATAGCTTTAAATAACTAAAAAATTATTAAATACATGTTTATTTCAAAAATATTTTTTAATTTCGCTTTCAGATGCGTTGGTTGATAATAGTTTTGGCCGCCCTGGCCGCTTTCGACGTAGTACCCAGCAGGGGGGCGCGAATTCTGGCCGTCTTTCCTTTTTTCTCCAAAAGCCACATACTCGTCCTGAAGGCGCTGACCAACGAATTGTCCTCCAGAGGTCACGAGATGGTCGTGCTCTCCGCTTTCCCGCAGGATAAAAAACTTCCCAACTACACCGACATCGACATCATGCCCGATCTACAAGAAATCATGCAAAGGGCTACTGGGAAAAATCTCTTTTTTATGGGAAAAATGCCCATTTACCAGCAGTCCTTCATGATGTGGGGAATGGGCTTGGGCACTACCGAAGCGGTTGCCACCGGGTCGAGCTTCAAGCGGGTGCTTGAGGACAAAAAGGGCTTTGACTTGATCATTGCTGAAGTTTTCATGAACGAGGCCATCTACGGGCTTTCTCACCATTTCAAGGTTATAGTTAATTTTATTCCCAATGGATATTGAATTAATTATGGTCGTGATATAAAAATAAAATCATTAATTTTTTTTACTTGAGAATTGAAATAAGCAAAGAGTATATATAAAATTCAAGATTTATTTGAAATATTGAAAGTTGAAACATTTTAACTTTAATGTATCCAACACATGCAGTTAGTTTCGGCAGTGATACACAATTTTAGTAAAAACTTTCTGCTTGATTTGAAGAAAATTTTTACTTAATACTTAAAGACTTACAGGTTAATAATTTATTTAATTTGTTGATCTTCTTTATTCTGGTCTAATTTTTTTTTTTAAAAAATCTTAAAATTACTTAGGCTCCATTGGTTTTGGTGTGTCCCTTTGGCGGCTTCCACTGGCACAATTACGCGTCCGGCAACCCGATTCCCATGTCGTACTATCCCAACCCTATGCTTGAGTACACGGACAGGATGACCTTCACTCAGCGCCTATCTAACTTCGTATTCACAACGGCGTGGGACCTTGGACATTACTTCTTCTATCTGCCGCGCCAGGAAGCCATAAGTAAAAAGGTGAGCTGATTGCACTGAGTATTTTAAGCCCGTCTTATCACACATTCCGTCATACCTGCCGATAGTCAAATTAAAAAAATTGGAAATTTAAAATTTTTTTAAATGAAAAATGTTTTAAAAACACAGGTGTTTGGTCCAGACACCCCGAGCGTTCAAGAGTTGGAGGCGTCGGCCTCTGTGGTCCTTGTGAACCAGCATTTCACCCTCAACTACCCGCGACCTTTGATGCCCAACATAATCGAGGTCGGAGGGATGCACGTTTCGAGGGAGGTCAAGCCACTCGCAAAAGAGTTCAAGGACTTCCTGGACGGGGCTAAAGAGGGCGCGATTTATTTTTCCATGGGCAGCAATTTGAAGAGCGAACTTATGGGAGATGATCGGATTAAGGCATTTGTGCAAGCCTTTTCCAAAATTCCACAGAGAGTTTTGTGGAAGTGGGAGTCGGACAGTGTGCCAGGGCAATCTAAAAATGTCAAAGTGGCAGCTTGGATGCCGCAGCAGGAAATTCTTGGTCAGTGTCGTATTTTTTTCAATTTTTTTTTTTTATTAAATATTAATTTATTAAATCTTAATTCTAGCTCATCCAAATGTTCAAGTTTTCATAACGCACGGAGGTTTGCTGAGCGCCCAAGAAGCTGCTTTCCATGGAGTTACTCTTGTAGGAATTCCCGTTTTCGGCGACCAAATGCTCAATATGCGGAAAGCCCAACTGGGGGGTTATGGAATTTACATCGACTTCGACAATGTTACGGCAGAATCTGTAGGATGGGCACTGAACGAGGCTTTGCACAATCCAAAGTAAATTTCAAATAATTACGTTTGATAAAATATCTAAACAAAAAATTACAGGGTAAAAGAGGCATCAAGACTGAGATCTGCGCAATATCGGGACCAGCCAGAGTCGCCCTTGGACAGGGCCATCTTTTGGACTGAATACGCCCTGCGGCACAAGGGTGCAAAACACCTCCGACCAGCGGCAGCGGATCTTTACTGGTTCCAGCTCCATTTATTGGACGTTTACCTAACTTTGTTGGCTCCTTTTATTGTATTATTATGGCTGTGCAAAAAGTTCTGTTGTGGAAGCAAAAAATCTGCAGTCACTGATAAGAAGGGAGAGAAAGCAGCTGGCGGCAAAAAGAAAAAGCAGTAATATATATATATTAACTATTGAATAATAATTTTAGTGCCTTTATTAAGGTTTGCTGAATTGTGGTGTTCATATATTAAAAATTTCTATGTAAATTTTATTTTCCTTATCCTTTATTTATCTATAATTCCAATGAAATTTCAGGCCAATTTCTGTGTAATATATTAACACTATGAAAATATAATAATTCAATAAATAAAAAATCGACGCTCAGATTCTTACTTTGGAACATTTCTGGCTGGCAGTGGTTACTTTTTTTTTTTATTATTATACATGATAACGCAGAAATTGGGTATTTTTTTATAGTTACTGATCCCTTCTTCGCTTCACGAAAGACAAGAACTGCATGATAAAAAATAAGAAACGCCTCTTTGGGCCACGCTGGAGCTCATTTTTATTCTCAATGAACTTTGTGGTCTCGCATGTTCTATATTAAATAATATGATGTTGTGGATGTGGATGCGACTGGCACAAGGAGAAAAGTAAGAAGAGGCGCAGAGTTGTCTGCCGGCAGAGCTGGTGATTGTCAACATCAAAGCGCAGGCAGGTGGTTGTGCACATGTACTGCGAGTCATTGACAAGGTGATGTATAATTTTTTAATCGCTATGGGGCTTAAATCTTCACCAATAGTAATTAAGAACTCCTATAAATGTTAAAACCCGTAGAAAACTGCTTCGTATTTTTAGGAACCTATTAATCATTTACTTGAAAAAATATTTGATTTGAAATTTTTATATACTTATAAATATTAATAATTCACAAAACTTTATTTTGTAAATTTCAGATGCGTTGGTTGATATTATTTTTGGCCGCCCTGGCCGCTTTTGACGTAGCCCCAAGCAATGGAGCTCGAATTCTGGCCGTTTTTCCCTTCATTTCAAAGAGCCATATGATCGTGTTGAACGCTCTGACCAAAGAGTTATCCTCCAGAGGTCATGAAATGGTCGTGGTCTCTGCTTTCCCGCAGGAGAAAAAACGGCCAAACTACACCGACATCGATATCATGCCCGACTTGAAGGAAATCATGGAGGAAACCACAGGGAAGAATCTTTTTTACGCGGGGAAAATGCCTATCTATAAGCAGTCCTTTGTGATGTGGGGGAAGGGCCTTGGCGCCACGGAAGCGGTGGTCAAAGGGTCGCGCTTCAAACAATTGCTGAAGGACGAAAGGGGTTTCGACCTGGTCATCACCGAGGTTTTCATGAACGAGGCCATCTACGGGCTTGCCTACCACTTTCAGGTTAGTTTTAATTTAAGAGAATGTATTTCGATGAACCTAAAAAGTTATCAGTTATGCAGAGTCATGGAATTTAAAATAATTCTAGGGTATTCTAACACAACAAACTTGGGAAAAGATAGTAATCCATAAAAATGGAAAATGTATTTAACCATTTTTTAGGCTCCATTGGTTTTGGTGTGTCCCTTTGGCGGATTCCACTGGCACAATTACGCGTCGGGTAACCCAGTTCCTTTATCATATTACCCCAACCCTTTGCTCGAGTACACGCACAAAATGACCTTCACTCAGCGCCTATCCAACTTTTTATTCACAAAGACGTGGGACCTCGGACATTACTTTTACTACCTGCCGCGCCAGGAAGCTCTAAGTAAAAAGGTGTGCTCATTGCAGGCCCCTTTCACATTGTAACACTAATCTAAGATAATGTTAAAAAAAAATTATAATTTAGGTGTTTGGCCTAGACACCCCGAGCGTTCAAGAGTTGGAGGCGTCGGCCTCAGTGGTACTTGTGAACCAGCACTTCACCCTCAACTACCCACGACCTTTGATGCCCAACATAATCGAGGTTGGAGGGATGCACGTTTCGAGGGAGGTCAAACCACTCGCAAAGGAATTCAAGGACTTCCTGGACGGGGCCAAAGAGGGCGCGATTTATTTTTCCATGGGCAGCAATTTGAAGAGCGAACTTATGGGAGATGATCGGATTAAGGCGTTTGTGCAAGCTTTTGCCGAACTACCGCAAAAGGTTCTGTGGAAGTGGCAGTCGGACAGTGTGCCAGGGCAATCTAAAAATGTTAAAGTGGCAGCTTGGATGCCACAGCAGGAAATTCTCGGTTTGTTAAAAAAGTTTATTTCATTTCTAAGCATTATTTTATAATTTATGTTGGCATAATTAAAATTGTTATATTTATAAATAGCTCATCCAAATGTGAAGGTTTTTGTAACCCACGGTGGTTTGCTGAGCGCCCAGGAAGCTGCCTTCCATGGAGTCACTCTAGTGGGAATTCCTGTTTTTGGTGATCAAAAGCTGAACATGCGGAAGGCCCAACTTGGTGGTTTTGGAATTTACATAGATTTTAATAATGTTACAAAGGAATCCATCCAATGGGCCCTCAACGAAGCCCTCCACAATCCAAAGTAAAATGATAATATTTTTATAGGAATAAAAATCATTTTTTTTTTTTTTATCAGAATTACAGAGGCTTCAAGATTGAGATCTGCGCAATATCGGGACCAGCCGGAGTCACCCTTGGACAGGGCCATCTTTTGGACTGAATACGCTCTGCGACACAAGGGTGCTAAGCACCTTAGGTCGGCAGCAGCAGACCTCTGCTGGTTCCAGCTCAATTTGTGGGACGTTTACTTTACTTTGTTGGCACCTGTTATATTATCACTTTTGCTGTGCAAAAAGTGCTGCTGTGGAAGAAAAGAATCAGCAATAGCTGACAAAAAGGGAGATAAAGCAGATGGCAGCAAAAAGAAAAAGCAGTAGGTCTAATATGTATTTTAAATTTTCTTTTTCTACAATATTAATTATGTAGTGCCTTGATACCAGTCGTGAAGTATGGTTTTTATGTGTATTAAAAAATGTCCGTTTTTACTATCTAGTTTTGCTTTATTTCTTTTACTCCAACGGTGAAGAATCTTCATGATTTGGGGCATAATTTATTTTACTTGTTCTACTTTAAAGTTTAAATAATAAAAAAGGAAAAAGGTTTCCAACAGACCTACTTTTTAGTTCTGGCCGGCGGTAGCAGCCGTAGCAGTTGGGGCAGTGGTTGCATTGGTGGTTGCAGCACCAGGCGGAGGTGCGTACGGGCAACCGACGAACTGATCTGAAATTCGACCACCTTCGCGAAGTCCACTCAAAAATGCACCATGCACCGTGGCTGGATAGTTTCTTATGGTGTGCTCTCCTGAGAATCAAAATTAAATTTTTTATAAAGAAAATAATAATAAGTAAAGCATAAAAATATAAAATTAAATGAGACATACCAGCAAAATACAATCTGGGAATGCCATTAGATGGAGATCCAGCTGGCGCCGGTGGAGTGACAGGGGCTGCCAGAATGTCGTAGTCGTTGCCGGAAGACCCGACTGCCACAAATGAGTACGAGCCACGGGACCACGGATCAGCCCTCCACCTTGTCACAACCGTCTCTTTAGGCTGAAAATTAAAATATGAAATAATCCTATGCTTTATTTAAAAGCAAAATCTTTACCTGTGGAACATTAGCATTTCCAAATATTCCCTTAAGGACAGCAATGCAGCGTCCAACTATGACATCATCACTAACATTTTCCATGATAGCAGCGGCCTCTCCAGCCACCAGGGCGAGAAGGACAGGAGCCTTGTACAGGTTCCAAAAGAGGAAGAGTTCACCCCTGCTGGCGGTTGTGCTTCCGACGTGGCCAAAAAGATTGGCGTTGTGGTCCCAAAATGCGCGTTCAAAGCACAACACCACCTAACGTGAGTTCTGTTAATATGTTTTTGAAAAATAGAATGCGTTACATTACCTTATTTAAATTCCCAAAACCAAGCCTCTGAATGGAGGCCACCTTCCACGGAGGCAGGGGTGGGTGGAACTGCACGGTGTTGGGCAGAGCAGAAGATTGCTGCTGCTGAGTCGTCTGCTTCAAAACTCCCAAGGGAAGCGTGCACAGCACAACATCAGCTGTATAAAATTAAAATTTATACTTGGATTAAGATTTTACATAATATTACCTTTGTAGGTGATTGGGTTGCTCTGGTTTCTGGCATTGCTGGTAACCACTTCCACTCCATTGTGGTTGTACCTGATCTGGCGCACTGCGGTGCTCAGCTTGATGTCGAGATTCTCAGAGAGAGCAACAGGGACACAAGAATATCCGTTACGAACTGAGAGCAAAATAATTAAAATATTTATTCAGCATCAATTTCCGAGTTTACCAGTGAGATGGCTCCCAGTGAACTCAAAATCATCATCCTGGTCCCAATGTTTGAGGGAAAGATTTGAAAGTGGAGTTGCGTTCGCGAATTCCAAATTGGCAAAATGCCAGTCCAGGATCTGTCTGTCCCGGGATGATAAGTATACATCACTGAAAATAGCTCTCGTTTTAAAAAAGAAAATATTAAGAAAAAATTAATAAACCTGGGAGGTGATGCCTCAAGTTCTTGCAGCTTTTCTTCAATTTCCTTTTGCTGCTCTTGAAGTTGATCATATTCCTTCAATCGTAAAAGTTAATCTTTAAGTCTTAATCTAAACATTTTTAAGTACCCGACACTCATTGTTCATGTCTCTGAGTTTTGACCTCAAGACAAACTCCTGAGTGATGTCTCTGTTCTTGTTTTCACCCAAGGCTTTGTATTGCTTGCCCAACTCCTCAATCTTATCTTTGACCGAGATCATCTGAAAAAAAAATATATAAAATAAAATCATAAATTGCTACAAAATTCCTTTCAAACCTACCCTGTGTTGATTGCTCTTCAGTTTATCTTGAAGAGCAATAACTGACTTCAGGTGAGTCACCTGTTTCTCTTTCACATTCTTCTCTTGCAATCTGAGAAAAAATTTATTTTATAACAAAAAATGAAATTTTCAATTACATTATCTCACTTAATGACCCACTCCAAGGCTTGTCCCAGTGAGACCGGTTTGTCTCCTGTGTAGTTGAAGTCGAGCTGGTGGGAGAGGTAGCTGGTGGCCTCGAGCAGCCGGTTGAACTCACGCTCGACCATTTCGTCCTTGTCCTTGGGAACCTGAACACCCCCTGCCTTCAGTCAGAGAGCATGCAACAAGCGGGCAAAGCAGTCAAGCGGTGACACACACACTCCAGTTAGTTGGTGCAGAATGTCAAGAAGGGCAGTGGTCCAACAAATTTCGTTACAAATTCAAAATTGAATCACTGCCCTGGCTTAGGAAGCTGGTCGGAAGCACAACAAAAGCGCCAACGACGAGAACTGTGGTTTATTTACAGTGTTGGTGAATGGGCTCAAACTTTTTGTTCTTAATTTGAAGGAAACAAAAAAAAAAAATCCCCAAACCCCAAAATTTTGTGTTTATTAAAGTTTCTATTTGCGAACTAATTCCCAAAAATTCAGTGGTTTTGAAATAAAATAAAGTTACCGCTAGAAGTTCCATGTAAACCTACTTGTGTTTCCAAGTGTAAGGTAAATTCAATTCAGAGAAATTTTAATCTCACCGTGTTCCCGTTGGACTCGTAAAGTGGGCACTTCTGCCTTATTTTGTGCAGCTCCATAGAGATTTGTTTTGATAGGACGGTGACTGGGTTTCCACCAAGGCCAGTCACAACCATGGCTCCGAGATCAGCTATGTAGTTGCCCTTGCGGAAGGTGGCAATGCGTCCACCAACTCGGTCCTAGTAAATAAAGTTTACAAAAATGAAATTGCCAAGATTCAAAATAAAAAAAATCAAACTCACTCTCGCTTCCAAGACGACAACCTCCATTCCAAACTGCTGCATTTGCTGAGCTGCAGCCAAGCCAGCAATTCCTGCTCCTATGACGATGGCTTTGCCACATTTTTTGCTTGGAAGCGGCTGGAATTTAATTTTCAGAAAAATTGCAACCTTGGGATTAAAATTCTACCTTTGTTCGCTTGAACATCCCAAAGTTGATGAGACCGTGTCTTTCGAGGAAAGCATGAATTCTGAGCACAAAGGCTGGGTCGCTGTTGTATGGGCTCTCTACTTGGGCCACACAGTTGTCGGAAATGAGCTGCTGTTTCGGATTCTGCAGCCAAAGCTGAAGCTGAAATTACAAAAATAATTATTAGAATTTCAAAAGTTTAGATAAATTTGATTATATTAGGTTTTTTTCTTACTAATCTGTTACGAATGTGCAGAAACACTTTCTGTGTCTGCGAAGGCCCTTGGGCAATGTCTGGAAAACAAGCGGCTTCGGTCGAAGTCAATTTATCAAAGGGTAATCTGCTCTGGAACGCAGCTCCGTCCAAACCTGAGAAAATAATCAATTCATCCAATCCTCAATTGTACAAATTCAACCAACCTTTGAGGGCATCAAGTTCATTTTCAGGCTGGTCATTATTTTGTTCTGTGGTTTCCTCCTTAGCATCAGCTTTTGCAGCCGAGCTTCCTGAGACGCTTGAATTTGAACTCTCGCCAGATGTGGAAGATTCCTTGTTTTTCTCACTAAATCAAATTAAAAAATTAGCACTCTCGATTTGGGGAAAAATTTCTTTGGAACGAATTATGTACCACCTGCTGTTGACCGTGGAAGAGGAGGGGTGGAGCAGCGACGGCTTTTTATCTTTGGTTTTTTCCAAGCCGGTCGATGGACTTTCAACAACTTCATCTTCTTCGGCAGCATTGTCCGACTCCAACTAGAAAAATGCGTGCAAAAAACCTTCAATTTATTCGAAAAATACTTCAATTAAAAGGGCCTCACTTTAGTGTGTTAAATTTTTTTAACAAAACATCCAGCAGTTATCGAAACGAAAAAATATAAAATGATAAAGATTCCAGCAATTTCAGCTTTAACGTGATTGATTAACTATTTTCAATTTAAAGATGACGATTTATAACGGGCTAATACAAGCAAACACGCTTTAATCGTTCGCTCAACTCGAGAATCTGTTCTGCGGCCAGGGTGCATCGACTTCAACTAGACAATGCGATGCCGGACGACGTAAAGAATCGCCGGTTTCGCAGCAGTAACTGCGAAAATGACTGTGACCGTCCCTCTGAATTGTCAATCGGATGTTTAACATGGATTTACACGTACCTTAATCTTCTTCCTGCGGCTCATATTGGCAAATTCACTCGATTTTTTCGTCAAGCGGCGGAGAAAAACAACGAGGCAGCTGCTGGATTCGCAGTCGAGACGCCCGCGGCAGAGCGCATGCGTGCGAACTCGAGGGTCGAGAATGGTTATGCAACCGGTCGGTCAGGGACGGCGAGATAATTGCCTACTCTGCCTTTGCCAGGGGTCTTCGATTCTTTGATTGCCTCTAAAGAAGCAGCTACGCGTGAATTATTGTGAAATGTTTCAAATTGCTCAAGTCAAGGATAAAAGGGATCTAAATTGTTTTAAATCAATAAATATTTTTTAAATTAAAAGACTTCTCCTTCAATCATGATGCACAAAATTCAGTCAAATGTAAAATGCATTTGTCGGCGTATCAAATATTAAAATATGACATATTGTATAATATATTGCAAGACGTATTATTGACTCGGATCAAGTCTGATAGAAAACCGCATATTAAATTATGCGGTTTGAAGTCTCAGCGTCGTAATCTACTGATATCTTCTTTTATTTAATTGAAAAATGTTTATTTATCGCAATACTTTTCACAGACCAAGCGTGTTTGTTTTCCGAGGAGTGTGGTGTGGGGGATGAGAGAAGAAAGAAGTGACCGCGCTGGATATTCGCACTCGACGGCAATTTGTAAGGTATCATTTGCTCATTCCCATCGGCGGCGGTCGCCCAGTCGGTTCGTCGCGCTTTTTTATTGCGGCCATGTAAGCGACCCTCAAGCGGATCTCACTCACTCCAATCACTCTTATTTTAACACTCACAAATTAACATGGACCATCACGAGGAGCCGAGCACATCTCATCAACACCAGCATCCTGCCAATAATGCACAAAACGAGGAGAGGCGCCGTCTACACAAAGAAAAACAAAGAGATCTTAACGTAAGCGTTTATTATTATTACTTTTTTTTTTTTTAATTTTATCACTTAAAATATTTTTATTTTTATTGCTAACATTTCTTTGATTAAATTGAAGGCTCATTTTGTTATTTTAATTTCAATAAAGGAGCCCATGGATTTGGACGATTTGTTGCCGCAACTGGATGAATTCGGGAAATACCAAAAAATCCTGATTTGGTTCATTTGTCTGCCGGCGTGCATTCCCTGCGGCTTCTGCGCCTTCAACCAACTCTTCATGGCCGAGGTACCTGAGCATTGGTGCAGGGTGCCGGCCCTCGAGCTGCCCGGCGTGTCACAGCACGTGCGCAGAGAAGTCGGCGTGCCAAAGGTTAGACCAACTTTTTAACTAGGGCGCAAGCCGCAAATGTATTTGTTGACTGAAAGTGCAAAACGAGGGTTTTGTTTATGACCTGTCACAAATATGCAGTACTTCCAAAAATAAACCAGGTGCGTGGGAGATAAAAGCTGCGATGATTAATTCTCCGCCAGTAGGTCAAGATGCTTATATATCAGCTAATCCAGTTACACCTGCGCTCCTGTGGGGCTTCGTAAGCTTTGGACTATTGGCGCGCAGGGGGATGATAAAATAAATGACGATTTAACTTTGTAGTTTTGGGGCTAATGCAAATGAAGCAAGGTAGACTGGTAGACAAAATTAAGTTGACCTATTTTCAGTTAAATTAGAATAATTTAGGAACATTTCCAAAATTCTTAGTAAACCATCTATTTATTTTAATTGAAATTTTTCGAAAATGTTTGTAAACAGATTTAAAAAAAAAATGTTTCATCAATATATATTAAGTAGCATAAAAATTTATATTTAATTTTTGCAGGACGATAGTTGCCTTCGTTACGCTGTAAACTTCACTTCATTGCTTGAGTCACAATCCCTGATGGACATAGTACCAAATTCAAGCTGGCCCGTCGAGTCCTGCGTTGAGGGATGGGAATATGACCTGTCCGACATAAGCTCATCAATCGTCATGGACGTAAATTTAAATCAACAGTACAAAAAATTGCACGTTTTAATCATGATGCCACTCAGTTTGAGTTGGTGTGCGACCACGCGATTTACCCCACGTTAGGTTTGGCCGCCCTGAACGCCGGGGGCCCCATCGGCGTGTACGGTTTTGGCGTTTTGAACGACGGCATTGGACGCAAGAAATCGTTTTTCCTCTGCCTGGCCGTGCTCATCGTCGGCGGCCTCATCACAGCCTTTTCCTCCAGTTTTTGGATGTGGGCGGGCAGCAGGTTCATCGTTGGCCTCACCATTCCTGCCATTTACCAAATTCCGTTCATCATTGGTGAGAGATCAAAATTTATTTTAATAGGCAGAAAAATAAATGGTTATTTGCATGTTGAATTTTTACTACAAAAAATTTTCAACATGAAAGAAGTTCCAGTGTTTTTTCTTTACACACAAATTTAATTCATAATTTAAATGTTAAACAAAATAAATCAGCTCTCGAGTTGGTCGGCGCCAACTACCGCTCCTTCGTGACAGTCCTCACTTGCATTTTCTACACTCTGGGCTTGGTGCTTTTGGCCGGAGTGACTTACTTCATTCGAGATTGGAAAGCCATGGCCTTCGTAACATCCGCTCCATTTTTGTTTTATTTCTTTTACTGGCGGTAAATTAGTAGCCTAAAATGATTAATTTCCAAACTAAAAATTTGGTGCAGATGTCTTCCAGAATCTCCACGCTGGTTACTGGCCAAAGGCAGACTCGAAGAAGCGTCTTTAATATTGGAAAAACTGGCTGCAACAAACGGCAAAGAGCTGCCAGATTCCTTTAAACAAAAATTAAAGGTTTGTAATAATATTTGAAATAATTTTTTTCTATAAATCTTGAATAAATTTTACTTTTAGCAACATATGATGTTGCAAAGAACCCGCAGTGAGGAGAGAAAAGCAGAAAAAGGCCCAGGGGTCACGGCTTTGTGCAAAACGCCTAACATGCGGCTCAAAACGACTTTGATCACTCTCAATTGGTTCTATTTTTAAAATTAAATTTTTCATGTAAAACAAAATTGGCATTTGAAGGTTCGCAAATGAAATGGTATACGTTGGTCTGAGTTACTACGGCCCAGCGCTAGGAAATGACCGCTACCTCAGTTTTCTCTTGTCTTCCCTGGTGGAAATCCCAAGCTATCTTTGTTGCTGGGCTGTGATGGACAGATGGGGTCGCAGATGGCCGCTTTCCATTTGCATGGTTTTGAGTGGCATTTCCTGTATCATTACAGTACTTTTGCCAGCAGGTAATTTTAATTCTATACACATTTTATTATCTAATTTAATTGCACTCAGACGCGGTTGTGTTGACTCTGATTTTGTATCTGTTTGCCAAATTCACGATATCCGCCTCATTTTTGATCATCTACCCTTTCGCTGGTGAACTGTACCCAACGCAATTGCGAGGGGTTGGAATCGGCGCGAGTGCTTACATCAGCGGACTGGGCCTTATAGTGATTCCTTTTATTGTCTATTTGGTATGTTTTTTACTCATTTTCTAATTAATATTAATTTTAATTATAATTTTATTTATTAATTTTTTATCAGGGGATGGAAATGTTGGTGCTGCCCTTGGTTGTGATGGGGGTGATTTCAGTCATAGGAGGCTTGGCAGGTCTGAGGTTACCAGAAACGTTACACACCAAGCTACCGCAAACGGTCGAAGAGGGAGAAGAGTTTGGCAAAGATTTTTCAATGAACGATTGTCTCCGATGCGTTCCAGCGTCACAGTAAGATTTTTGTTGTCTTTTTTTGCTATTTTTTAAATCATGAGTACTCAAAGTTTTGCTTTTGTTTATTCCAGATGGTATAGGAAGACCATTCCAAAATCGCCGCTTTTGTAGTTATATTTAAGCTAGAGCTAGTAATAAAAAAGACCATATAAAAGTAGCAGGTAGAGCGTATTTCTCTTTCTTGATGATATAAGAATACAAAATTTGATTATTATATGCAGTAAATAGAATACAATGAAAAGTGAAATTTGTATTCTTGATACTTCTTTGTTTTAGTTTTTATTTTAATATATTTGTTTGAACATGCAGAATTTAACAAATTGAATTATAAATGAAAATAAAAATCTAAATACCAATCCAGGCATGGATCTTACGAAGATTTGAGCGTTCAGCTGTCCGAATTAAATATCGCCAGCGTGGAGGCAGTAAATGCTGACGAACCCTTGTCTCCAACAGAAGCGACCGAAGAAACGCCGTTCGGGTCAAGAAGCAAGAGCATCAGGAGGAGCATAGCGAGACAGTCGAAGATTCTTGTCAGGCAGTCCAGTGTGCTAGAGACTCCTTACGACTCGTCCGGGGCCATGAAAATGACCTATTGGTACTGAAAGTTTCACAAAAAGGTCATTTAAAAAGACCTCTAATTTAGTTAGCAGAGTGTGCCATTAAGTTTAAGTGTGTGTGAAAATTTGAAATATATTGAAATCGGTGTTTGTCTGAAATCTTATTTTTTTTAATGAATACACTATTCTTAAAAAAAAATTTAATGCTAAAAAACAAAACAAAAAACAAAAAAAGTATGAAAAAAAAATCAGAAATTTATCAAAATTACATTAAAGAACAGTTACGTTTTAAAAATTTTAACTACAAACTTACGTAAGTATCTATAGTGTCTGAAAGCGTTAGAGATAAGTTTTATCAAAATTTGATATATTGCCAAAGTTAAATTATTTAGATGAAACATAATTATAATTAATGATAAAAATTACTAAGCGGACCCTTGATACCCGTTGTGGAGAGAGGCGGAACTCATTTTCAGTGGTTTAAAGTTTCAAACTCCTCAACGTTTTCGCGCTCCTTCTTTTCCCCTCAACAACCACTTCCCCTTTATTCCTTTTCCTCATTGAGCTAAACATGGCGAGCAACAGAATCTTCGGCGCTCTTTCGAGAGTAAAAAACACCGGATTTCTACTTTCCAGAGGCCATGGTGAGTCTAAATTTGATCCAGACACAACTCGGGAATATAAGTTAATATTCTCCAGTCGGACCTGTGCTAATTTATGTCTTTCTGCATGCGAAAAACGAATTGGCAGGCGACCGTGTCACGCCAGCTGATAGGCGGTCGAAAGTTCATTTTCATGTGTTCGTGCATCTCTGACATTTAATTAACCTCATTAATGGACTAATTCATGTCCACCTAGATCAGAAATATGTCTTTCAGAAGTAGCCGCTTCGAAATAATGACTCGTATTTTTGTAAGCACTTTATTTTGCTTTGTAATCGTTGAATGTGTGTCACACTATTTTCCGTTCCCCCACAGCCAAAAGTTTCACTTCTAATTTTTTTAAACAACATTATTGTTTCCCAAAATTTATTGTTTTCTCTCTATATTATTTTTCCATAAATTTTAACTAAAATAATTGGTTTTTATCATCCTATTGACGATTTGTAAGAAGTTAAGCAAAACAGGAATCGTTGATAATGTTACATAATGGTATTAATGGTTTGTGAATAAAAATATTAATTAAGCCACAACTTAACTATATGATTTTTTAATTAATTGGAAAATTTCATACAAAAACTTCAACTTCAAATATGCACTTTTCCATAGCTTAAGTAAGTGATAATTATTTCATTCTTGCTAAAAAAAAAAATAGTTATTTTAGTCTTTAGAGTTGCTAAATCGGAAGAGATTACTTGATTTTACAATTTTTTTCACGGTTTCCCTACAACAGTCACGCATGGAAATAAAATATTCTCTTAATTTAAAGGCTTGAAGTTTTTAGAACATTTTTAAAGTGGCGGTAAAATCGTCGGGTACAAAGTTTGGTCTAAAGTACAAAGTTTCATGCTGGATTTTTATCTTTTGCTCTGATAGACATTTTTCACTGCCCATCTTTATCATCTCGCTCTAAATCACCTTTAATAAATCTAAGCAGTATAATAACAAAAACAATTCAAATCAGCATGGAATCTCCAGACAATGGTAAATTCAAGCGCACGGATTTCATTGTATTAATTTTTTGTTCCAGTTGCTCAACGAACAATCAGCCCTGCTGCCGGCTCAGCATCACTGCACACAAGATTGGAGGTCAAGAACAATGTAGCGGTCATCACGTTAGATTCGCCAAATGTCAAGGTAATACTCTTTTTAACTGAAAGAAGCAAATATTTTAATTTCAATTTAGGTGAACTCATTAAACGATGAGGTGATGAATGAAGTGCACAGCATCCTGCAGAAAATCGAGAATGACCCAAGCGTGCAGGCCGCCGTGCTCATTTCAGGCAAGCCTGGCTGCTTCATCGCCGGTGCTGATATTAAGATGTTGCAAAAGTGTAATACAGTTGAGGATGCCACGACCGTCTCCAAGAATGGCCAACGAATTTTGGCGCAGGTGGAGAACAGCAAGAAGCCGGTTGTTGCTGCAATTATGGGATCCTGCCTTGGAGGAGGCCTCGAGGTAAAAATCTTAGAACGTTGCTTGCTTAAAGTGATATAAATGTTTACATAATTTTGTGTTTTTTTCTTTCTTTGTGAAGTTCCTTTTGTATTTGAATAAAAAAATTTGAATTCTTCCAGGTTGCCCTTGCTTGTCATTACCGCATCGCCGTCAAGGACAAAAAGACCGCTCTTGCTCTTCCAGAAGTGATGCTCGGTCTTCTACCAGGAGGAGGCGGAACTCAGCGTCTGCCAAAGCTAGTTTCTCTACCCAAAGCAATGGACATGGCACTCACAGGCAGGAACCTTAGAGCTGATGCTGCAAAGAAATTGGGACTTGTCGACCGTATTGTTGAGCCTCTTGGTCCTGGACTGAAGGACGGAAATGAAAGGTACTTTCAATTAATAATTTATTTATTGGTGAAACAGTAGAGAAAAAAATAGGACAATGGAGTACTTGGAAGAGGTGGCTGTGAATGCTGCCAGACAGTTGGCAACTGGAGAGCTTAAAGTAAGCCGCGAAAAAAAGGGCCTTGTTGACAAAGTCCTGAAGTTTGCCCTGAACTACGAATTTGTCCGTAACCAAATCTTTGGCAAGGCTAAGGATGCAGTCATGAAGCAGACTGGCGGCCTTTACCCAGCACCACTCAAGGTTTGAAGTTTTAAATTGGCAAATCAGAAGATTTTATAAAGTTTTCTGTGTAGATTCTTGAGTGCATCAGAGCTGGAGTGGAAAAGGGACCTGTTGCTGGCTATGAAGCCGAAGCCAAGGGTTTTGGTGAATTAGCAGTCACCCCTGAGTGTAAGGGACTGATTGGTCTCTTCTACGGCCAAACCGAGTGCAAGAAAAACCGCTTCGGAGCTCACGAGCACCCCATTAAAACTGTGGCCGTCCTTGGTGCTGGACTCATGGGTGCCGGGATTGCCCATGTGTCTGTTGACAAAGGTTATGATGTCCTCTTGAAAGACACCACTCAGGCTGGCTTGGCCAGAGGGCAGAACCAAATTCAGTCTGGTTACGATAAAATGGTCAAGAGGAGGAGGATTTCTGCGTGAGTCAAGTCGATTCTATTTATTTTGAATTGGTAGAGAAATTTTTTGTGGGTTCAGGTTCGAGCGAGACCTAATTTTGAACCACCTGGAGCCAACTCTCAATTATGACAACTTCAAGAAGGTCGACATCGTCATTGAGGCAGTGTTCGAGGACTTGGCTCTGAAGCACAGAGTAATCCAAGAAGTTGAGAAGCACATTCCGGAGCACTGCATCTTTGCCTCCAACACCAGTGCCCTCCCCATCACTGACATTGCCAAGGCTAGCAAGAGGCCAGAAAAGGTTAAAAATTCTGATACATTTTTCAAGCAGAAATTTTAATTATTTTAATTAGGTCATTGGCATGCACTACTTCTCTCCAGTAGACAAGATGCAACTTCTGGAAATCATCACCACCGACAAAACCTCGAAAGACACGACGGCCGCTGCCGTTGCTTGCGGCCTCAAGCAGGGCAAGGTTGTTATCACAGTCAAGGACGGACCTGGATTCTACACCACCAGGATCCTTGCTGCCATGCTTGCAGAAGCCATGAGACTGATGCAGGTTAGAAAATCATTTTTAGAATTCATATTTTTTCTGATTTTGATTAATTCTTTACAGGAGGGTGTTGACCCCAAGGCCCTGGACAAACTGACCAAAACATATGGCTTCCCAGTAGGTGGTGCTACCTTGTCTGATGAGGTTGGCATCGATGTTGCCGCTCACATTGCCGAATACCTTGGAAAGGCCTTTGGGGAGAGATTTGCTGGTGGAGACCCCAACGTTCTGAAGGAGATGGTTGCAAGCGGATTCCTTGGTAAGGACAACCACAACTTCAGCTTTTCAAAAATTATTATTATTATTGCCCATTAGGTCGCAAAAGTGGCAAGGGATGCTTCATCTACGAAAAGAACTCTAAGAGCAGGGAAATTAACACAGATGCCGTGGCTATCATGCAGAAGTACAAATTGGAGCCCAAGGGATCAACAGCACCTGAAGACCTGCAGCTCAGGATGGTCAGCCGATTTGTCAACGAAGCCATCATGTGCCTGCAAGAGGGAATTTTGGCTAACCCTGTAAGTTCATTGACCTTTTGATAAAAAAAAATATTTGAAATACGCTTGAACAGCTGGAGGGAGACATTGGCGCCGTCTTTGGACTTGGCTTCCCTCCCTTCACCGGAGGACCCTTCAGGTTTGTCGACCGCTTCGGTGCAGACAAGCTTGCTAGCAAAATGGAAGAGTACGGCCAGCATTACGGAAAGCCATTTGAGCCTTGCCAGCTGCTGAAGGACCACGCCAAGGATTCCAGCAAGAGGTTCCACAAGTAAACACCTATGAATGTTTTATTTAAAAAAAAAACTAAGGCTGCCTTTGTACAGTTAATAGCGCTATTTTTATATCCCCTGGCGCAGTCTACATTGCAACCATTCTTTTGCAAGAAAGTCTGATCAATAATGTGTTGACTAATGATAAATAAATTGTACTGTTACTTTGTTGTCATATGTATGGAGAAAAGGACACAACTTTCTGTTAGATGCCGCAACTTCTACACTTTTGTTCTAAATCGTTCAAATTTCTTCATTTCATAGAATTTAGGATGAGGGGTGGCATTATCTCGTTTTTCCAGAAAATCACCTATTGGAGCCATTTGTTGTGAAAATAAATGCAAAACGAAAAAAAATATAATTTTTCTGACAGTGTTTGCTTTTGAAATACCTATTCTGTTTGCTGACTGAAAAGTGATATTATGTGTGACGTGTCAAATCAATATAGGGGGAATATAGGCAACCTGAGATGCACAACAGTTCTGGGGGTTGCATTGCGATTTTTAAATTAAATTCTTTGATGTTAATGTTTTTCTTTTTATTGTTTGTCTTTTGAACCCAGAGTATTCTCATTGCTTGCCTCCGAAATCTAAAATTCCTAAGTTCTACCAAATTGTGCTGGTTTTAACTTTTACATAATTTTCGTACTTCAGCGCTCTAATCGGCCACGCCCCTATTTCTGTGTTGACAATCAGGTGAGCTCGAGCAATGGCCGCCGCTCGGATTTGATATACGTGTTCTGGTTCCCACAATGATAAGCGGAAATCGACCACAATGTTCGCGAACTTGAAGAACAAAATCAGGGAAGAGACGGGCGGTGACCTGCCTCAACTTGGGCCCAAACATCTCGGGCATGGCCGTCTCAGCAGGGGCAGCAAGGGCGGCTCCACTTCCAGCATGTGTTCAGAACAAGATAATACCTCAATGCTCAAGGTTTTTAAATCTCTATTCTGACGGCTTTGAGCTTGGAAAAGTTCTCTCCATATCAACGAACAAATTTGGTTTTATAAAATTGATAATTTAGCTTGTTGGGATCATTTGAAGATAGATACTCACCCCTTGATCCTTCACCTATTCGACACGCCCAAATGCACATACATAACAAAAAAATAAAAATAACAAGGTTTTTTGTTGTGTGTTGTGTGCACATTTTCTAGTCTTGTTATTAAAGCAAGCGATTAAAAATAACATTATTTTTGATTTTAATAAACAAGAAAATTATGTTAATAAAATGATTGAATTATATGTATATATTAGCAATAATTTATTTTTATATTGTGTCAGGCAGAAGATAACACGATAAATAATAATCGTGAAGTGGCTTATTAAGGGAAATCACCAGTAAATTAACATAAATAAAATTATATATGTGGGGGTTCAATAATTCGGTGTCACTCTTACAACTTCCCTGCACATAAGACTGACATTGAAATGCAAACTTAATCAGGCCCCTACTTTTCCATCGATTTTATTTTTACCTTGCAGAGACACTTACAAATTCACTGAGTTATGTGTCATACAGTTTTATTCCTCTAGCATATTTTAACTTTCATCATTTTATGATAATTTTCAGCCAAGGGTAGACTGGCAACTTCAGGCAGAAACGCTGGTGTGCGAGAAAGCTGTTCTGGAGGAGGAAAAGGCAGAGTTGGTCAAGAAGAACCTGGAGTTGTCTGAGCAGCTGAAAGAAGCAAACAGTTAGTTCTATTCAATTAAAAATTTCAAAATTTAATGCAAAATCAATTCCCAGACTACAAACAGAAGGCTTTTCAGTACCAAGAGGATTTGGACCAGCTCGAGGGTTTCCAGACTCAGGAAATAGCCAAAGTCAAGCACTTGGTAAATATTTGATGCAAGAAAATATAAACTATATTTACAAAAAACTCCTATCTCAGTTACTTGAGAGGGAACAGCAACTAAGTGAGAGTCAATCCTCCCTTGCCAAGGCACAGACAGAGATTTCCAGGCTGAGATCAATTCAGGACCAATTGGCGCATTTGCAGGTAGGACCTGTGTATTTCTTGCTTATCTAATTGCACTGCTGACGTGAATGTAAATCACTAATTGTGTACTATTTAAAATTAGCCACAGTTGCTTTGAGCTTGATCGTGCAGCTTTAAAGCAGATTTTTAAATAGCCCATTTTTTCCATCACAAGGAAATCATAAATAAAGATGGTTAGCAATTTGAATTAATTAAGCACTCATTGCAAGCACTACGATCTTCGACAAATACCAGCAGCGGCCACACCTATGCTTTGCAGGTCACAAATTAATGTACATAACACATCCATCCAGCTTGCATGCTGATAATTACATGCTTCCATCTTGGACGTTGTCTGTCTTGACTTACGTGTGTGAATCTGTGTAAAAAAAAGCTTTCAGACTAAAACAAACATCGGCAAACATGTAATTCGAAAAACCTGATTTCATTCCATCAGAAATTCAACAATTCTGCAGGCGGTGTCTCATTTTACAAATAATTAATACTTTGAAAATCGGAACATTTGACCAGCTAGAGAATGATCATCTTGCTAGAATTTGCAAGAGGAGGTTTTCATCCGCTAGTGTGATTTTAAATTTATTTTTGACAGAATTTAGGACCAGACACAATGTCTCTCGTCTGCAGATCTCCAAAATCTAAATCAATAGAAAGCTTCAAACTAAAGCTCAGGTTTTTCGAACAAAAGGCCGGAAGCAAGTGGTGTGGGTTGTCGGCAACTCAAAGCCCATGCGAACCCTTTCCTCAGGACTCGCTGGACGCGGCCGAGCACAGCGCCGAGCAGACCAAGCAGCGGCTGACCCTGAAGTTGGAAGAATGCGAGGCTGAGCGGGTGGTGCTGAGCGAGAAGTTGGCCAACGTGACCGCCCTGGTGGACGCGAGTGCCCGCGGCGAGGTGGCCTCGGCCCTTGAGCAGGCCAAGGACCTGGCCGAGCGGCGCCTTGAGGAGGCGCGGCTCGAACTGTCCGACGTCAAGGCTAAGTGGTGCCAGCAGGTGACCGCCCTGGAGACGCAGGTGGCGCGTCTCTCGGTTCAGGCTGGGGAGGAGGGCGCTGAACGGCGGGCGGCCGAGGAGCGCCTCAGGGAGGCTGAAGGCCGCATGAACACCCTCACCCTTGAGAGGGACGCCGCCCTCGAGAGGGCTGCTAAGGTACAGGCCAGCTCTGACGACGACGAGGAGGAAATCCTTTTTAATTATGGCTAATTCCTGTGTTATATTTTGACATTTAGTTTGGCTAGTTGCGTAAATTGTGCCTTTGGTTTCTAAAAGTTTTGCTTTGTACAGATATTTTGAAAAGAAACTTGCTTTTATTTTTTTCAGCTATAAATTTATCTAAGAAATGTCATATTTGTTTTTTTTTTAATTTATTCAATTAACTGTAAAATCCAATTTATATTTAAATTCAAATGAATCGTGCTTTTAATTTAAAATTATAAAACTGATTAATTTCATCGGGAATTTGGGAAACTAGGCACTATTTATTCTGCGCCCAAACCTTAGTTTTAGTTTAATATTTTGATCAGCACTCTGTGATGTCACCTTGATTACTTGTTGCAATCCTCTCTAGTTTTAACTTATAGGACACTATTTTAGTTTTGTTTAAGAACATGAAATTCAAAATCATTGACTGCAAAGCACAGGCGTCTAGTATTCCTGATTAATTTTTAACTCTCTCTAATTTATTGATGTTTTAATAAATTTTTGTTCTAACTAACCATCCTTTTTATGTTTCTCACCTTCCCCGACCAATATTTGATAACAAAGCATGAAGATAATTTTTTTTTCAATTGTCAAATCCAAGTAGCTAGAGTAGGACTTTTGTCCTTAAAGAACTCTCTCCTTGCAGGAAGGACAGTCGTCAGATCAGGAGTTCGTTTTGAAGGACCAAGTTTCTAGTCTGGAGGCAGCAAAGAAAGAGCTAGAAGGACGCTGTTCGTCATTAGAAAAAACAGCCTCGGAGTGTGAAAGATTAAAAGAAAAAATTTCCGAGGTGGAAAAAGTGGCGTCTGAAACGCAGAAAAGCCTGGAAAGCAAAATTCAGGAGGTTGAAAAAGCGTCCAAGGAGCGAGAGGCCAATGAGAAGAGGAAGTCTGCCGAGCTGGTCAAAGTGAGTCGGGAGATCAGAGAGGAGAAGAGCAAGTTAGAGAAGAAAGTGGCAGAGCTCGAGTCGGAAACGCAGAAAAGTGTGACGTTGACCAAAGAAAAGGAGGCCGAGCTCGAGAAGGCAATTAAGGAAAACCAGGCATTAGTGGAAAAGTGCAAAAAACTTGAGGAACTGGAGAGTGAAGTTAAGGCGTTAAAGATGTGCTGTGAACATGTAGGCCGAGTCGAAGCGGAGAAGAAGGCGCTGGAGGAAAAGTGCGCCAGCCTGGAGACCAACCAGAGAAATCTGGAGCTTGAAGAAACTTTGCAAAACACAGTACAAATTTTTTATTCTGAAATTTATGATTTTTGCTAATAATTATACTCTTTTAGATAACTAGACTAGAGGGTGAGTGCTTGTCAGTAGCTGAAAAAGCACGATTTCTTGAGGAGAAAGCTTCAAAAACTGACAAAGATCTGGCTGAGGCTAATTCAGAAAAGGACCAGTTACTGTTGAGAAATGCAAGTCTATCACAGCAAAGTGAACTAAACTGTAGAGAGCTTCAAGAGGAAATTTCTGAATTAAAATTGGCACTTAAAAAGCAGGTGAGACCAAATTTAAATAATAAATGATTTTATTATTCTTATGCTGATTACAATTCTAAACTATAGGCACCTAAATCACAAATCGATGAGCTTAACAATAAGATCAGTGACCTCGAAACACAACTTGCCGAGAAAAATAAGGTAACCGTCTCATTTAACTTGCAATTCTCATTTAACTCGGTCCAATTTTCAGAATGTCAAAACTCTGACTCAAAGACTGGCGGACATGAAGAAAACTTTGCAGAAGGAAATGAAAGGAGCCGACGCTGTGGCTTCACAGCAGCCAGCAGAGAAAGTTGAAAACAAGGTGGACGTCAATCACGAGTATTTGAAGCACGTAGTCCTTAAGTTCTTCACGAGCCGGGAATATGAGGTGGTAGGATCAATTTTTGTTTCATTTGTGGTTTGAGTTTTTCATTTTTCTGAGAAGCGTAATTCCCTGATTCTTATTGTATATCTTTCTTCTCAGGCCCAGCACCTAACCAAAGCCGTTGCCACTCTGTTGCACTTCACGCCGGAAGAAGAGCGCCTCTTAAGAGAGACGCTGGACTGGAAAATGTCTTGGTTCGGCAGCAAGCCCAGACTTGGCAATGGCCAGACAGCGAAAAATATCCCTCCTAGCTAGCGATAATTTCTCAATTCTTGACATTCCTCTGTGAATAATATTCCTAGTTTGGGCCTCCTGCAACTGCGGACTCAAGTTTTTGTATCACCTGACCTCTATTAACTTATTATTTGAGCTAAAATTATTGGAAACAATGTTTGTTATTGATCTTTATTACTGGAACTTTTTGATGAAAATGCTTGATTATTGTTGGAAATGAGAGCAGAAACTTTTAAGAAAATATATAGCTTCGTAATTGAACTGCTTGGTTTTGATTTAAAAAAAACCCAAATTTATAAATTGTTGTGACTGTTTGTTGGTCGTTTTTTTTTTAAATGGGGATGTAAAAAGTAATAATTTTAAATGGCTGCAAAAGGCATTATATAAGTTTTAAAAAAGTAATGCACCACAAGTCGAATATATTGAAAATTATGCATATTTCGTATTATCTGATGCAGCCTGCAATAATGTATGCGCGCCAGTTTTGCTCCCAGCAGAAGCTTCTTTCCTCCCTCGCTCTCTCCTCCAACCAGCGGGGTTTTTTCCCAACAAAAAAACCAGAGATATATCTCTGCATAACACCAGAGCGGTGCTATATTATCTTGCCGGTTCATGCAGAGGGGGCTGGGAAAAATTCCGCTTGCTTGCTTGCGCACAAATATAACACACAGCTTGCTGCGTGTGTCTTGTGCCCTGGGGAGAAGTTGAGCCGCAGTTGTTGCTTTTTACATTTTAACGTGTGCAACTCTAATAAAAACTCGCATTAGTGCACATTTTATTGCAGCAGAAGGGAAGCATACAAAATAAAAAAGCCAAAATGCTATAGCATTTCCCTCTGTTTTACTTTGCGAAATTTGGGCTTTTTTAACATTTCTTTGTTATAATTCAAAGGGTGGCATTTAATTGTAAAGTAGCGCAAATATTTATTTAAATTAATTTAAACGTCAAAGTTTTCTGGGGCAGGTGTGAGGCTCGTCAAAAGGCTCACATTGCGTGCAGACCGCAGTTTGCAAAGTGTACCCAGACCGCAGCTGTAGAGCTGCGCTGCACGGCAGGTCCAGCAGAGCTTTTACCTCATTCTCTGCGTGTGATTGTGTCGAAAACCTCATCAAAGTTTCCTTATTCTGCAAGCGATGGTGGAAGGAAATTATGGGCGGTGTGAGCACCCCTGCTGGAAATGAACTAGAGGGCAGGAGCGACGATCGAGTGCCAGGAAAAACCCACGTGTGCTGCTAGAGAGTTGAAACAGATTTTTGTAAAATAAAACTGTTTTAGAAAAATTCAAATACCAAAGCTTAATTTTTGTTGAAAAAAAAACTATAGTGTAATTATGCACAATTTAACCCTGGAAGATCGATGAAAACCTCTACGTTGAACTAAATTTTTAATTAGGAAGACTGCATAAAATGCAGCCCATATACATGTTACAATCATTTTTTTTAATTAATTGTATTGTACTAACTAAGTAAAAAATCATGCATACAAATAAAATTGCTAGGGGTTTCTTTCTAGATTCAATCTGTGCAGCCCACAAAAATCTTTATTAAAATTTATATTCTACATTAAAAAAAAACATTTAATTTTTTCCGTTTAAAACAGAAACACGCAACTAGACCAATAATGCGTGACAACTTTAAGGGTGATATCAAAAGTGTCTCAAGCAAGTTGGGCCGAAACTTTGGCCCTGTGCAAAAGATCTATGTACGCAAGTTCTAACCGTCATGTTTTGTCTCCGGGCAGGGGATGCAATATTAAATTTCAACTTTGGAAGGTGACTGTGGCCGAGAGCTTCCCTCTCGCGTCGTCAACCCTTCTTGCAGCCCCGCGCGGTGCGCATGGTTTGTCAAAGTGGCACTTGCTTCTCTAAAGTATGTGGGCACATGCATAGCCGCTCTGTTGTGTACATTTGCACTCTGTTGCACGTGTGTCATACATGCTCGTATAGTTCAAACACGTCGGCCGGGGTTAAAGCTGTTTTAATTTTTGATGATGGCGGCTCAAGAAACTTTCCATTGTGTCTGTGCGCCGCGCTTTAATGAAAACCCTGCTTGACGCCAAAACAGAAGCCGCAGAGATGTGTGTGGAGGGCACGCCGGCCTGTTGGTAGTTTCGGGTGTCTAATTAGCGCGCCACCAAACCCGATATTGCACAGAAAGCAAAAGTGACACACAACGTCAGGGCTCACTTGACACCTGCCTTTTTGCACCCCAACGGCTCTCAGCTGCGGTTTGTCAAATTATTTGTTTTCAAAATTCCAGCTTCATCCCCCAATGATCTATAATTAGACTTATCTGTCTGCTTGCATTTTTTGCCTTTTCTATTTCAGATTAAACGAGGTTTACTGAGAACACACAAAATCTCATCTCAAAAAATAAATCCAACAAATCCAAATTTTATAAAATAAGTTTCGGAAAAATGAAAAAAATTGTCAAGATGTAGTTCAAAAGATAAGTGCTTATAGTAACGTTTTTTTTTTAATTTTTGGTCAGTCGAACCAACTTTATTCAATGATCTAAAAAAAACCTTTTTTTCACGTGCAAACGTATTGCTCTAAATAATAAAGAAATATTTTTTTTTTAGATTTTGCACTGGTGTAACGACAAAACTCCAATAATTCTGAAAAACTGTTTCATAGAAGCTAATTTAATAATTTTATTTATGAGCGGTTAACAAATAAACTTTGCAAATTAATTTTTTTAATCAAAACTTCAGTCTGAAATTTTTTTAATAACAGTTCGTTCTCTGCCAGCTATAATATTGAAGAGTTGTAAAAAGGATGTCGGATTAAATCTGATAGTTGGCAGCAGTTCCAACACTTGCTTTTTAGTTGCGACATTTCAATTAGTGAGTGTTTCTTTTCCAATGGTGTGTGTCAATCTGAGGATGCATAATATTGTTTGCGTGCAACGCGGGCTCAAGGGTGGAGTGGTGGCGGCGCAGACTCGTTCTGTCGGCGCTGTCGAGGGTTGAAATGCTGCGAACACGCGGCCGTCAGTGCCGGTCTAGCGGCTCAACCCTCGACATCGCACAGGGCATGTGGAAGTAGTGAGCCGGCCCAACATGCGAGTCATCCCGTGTCTGCTCTTCGTGCTCCTCGCCAAAGGTAGGATTTTCTTTAGATGATGAAAAACACGTGTAAATTTCCTAAGAAAGTTGAAATTGCAAAGATTAGAGTCTTGTTTTTATGGTGTTCATGTTTACATCAGAACACAAGTTATGCCAGCTGTGTTAAAATCGCTTGAATGCTACGGTAATTATACAGGCTTTTGTTACTAGCATTTTTTTTTTTATAAATTAAATTCTTTATATGTATTAAAAATAATACGCCTTCTTTTAAGAGGGGGATTTGATCTATAATCAAAATCTCTCTAAAATTTAACTTCAAGCAACGCTCAATAATTGTTTACCTTATAATGATAAATTATGTAATTCTTCAATCTTTAATTTCTTTTTAAACAACAAGAGGCCACCATAAGAATTAAGAAATATCAATCGTCTCTCATCCCCGTTCTGACCTGTTCGCTCTTGTCGAAGCGCCGAACAGCAGCAGCCAGCAGGATGGAGGGAGAGAGAGTGTGCAATTTTAAAGAAAACAAAGTCACCTCTCGATGCCTCGGCAGCACATTCTTGTCTATACCGTAGGGAACGCGAGCTTACTTAATTATATTATAAGCGCGGGACTCATTTTTATTGAGGAAAATTGCGTCTTGAGAGCGTTTCAATGATACATTTGAACAATGCGCGCTTGTCTGGTGCTATTGGGCTTGGAATGAAGTCATGCGAGAACGCAGACAAATCTAAAGGCGCTCGTAGTGGCTCCTTGTTAACCACTTATGTCATTTAAAATTAAGTAAAACATCAAGATATCTGGGATTTAAAATTTTCATGAACTTCATTTAATTTTAAACATTAAAATTAATTCTGCCAATCTTACAAAATTACAGGCACAATATAGTTTGCATTGGACACGTTAGTAAAAATGAAAACTTGATAATTTTAAGATAAGATAAATATACGAATTTATATTTACGGACGTAACCCTTCAATATAAAAAAATTATTGGAAATTTTGGTAGCTATATAATAAACAAACACACATTCCAAATTTAATATGAACGTTATTATGCATATAATTAATGAAAATTTTGATTTTCAGAACTTGTCTTGTCCATTCTTACATTTTTTATGTTTGAACCTTGAAAAGTTTGGCTTTCCAGGTGTTCTGAAAATCACGAAATCAGATTTTTAATAACTGCAAAATATGTAAAAAAAAAAAAATATGCATCTCTTGCAAGCAAAAACTTGAGGTGCTTATGACTGGAAAAATAATATCCTTGCAGCTTTTACTGACTAAATAGTCAAACATCGAAAACTTTAGGAAACTTTTTTATTTCAATTTTTGTTTTCAATGTTTGTTTTTCGGTTTTGCCAACGTTGCCATCTTTGGATGTTCTCATGAAAAATGATTGGCCTTATATTTGAATAGGCAATTGGCCATTTCTTTAGTGCAGGAGAAAGACAATTACTTCTCTCTTTTCTTAATACACGGTTGGGCGAAAACGTTTGTGGAAGAGCATGGGGCAAAAATCAATTTGGGCGAGGGTGCAAACTTCTTGTGTGCCGCTGCTGTTATGCGGGGACAAATAGGCGCGCACACGAGAATAGTATTTCACAGGCCGGCGAGCAAAAACCGAAGGCGGAATCAAAGGCTGCTCCTCCGCAAACGAAACATGAGCCGTCGTCGCTTTGAAAGTGCTAGTGGTGACTACACACACACACACGGAGCAGAAATTTTATTTGCTCGCGAGGATCGCATATCAAATGCATGGAAAGGCGAGATTTTGTTTGCTTGATTGACTCCTCGCACGATTTCCAGCACTCCAATTCGAGTCGCCCGAGAAACACGAGTAGAAAAAATAAACGGAGAGAGAGACTTTTCCGAAATAGATAAAACAAAGCAGAGAGAAAGAGACAGACAGAGAGCGCCTCGAGCTTCTTTTCCTTTTCCGCCGCGCCGCGTTTTGTTTCTGCTCCGTCGCCCTCAGACGCACTTTTTTCTGCAAAACTTTCCGCAATCCCATAAGCATAATCCTTGGCTCCGCAACTTTTCTAATATTAGGGTAATGGTGGTGATTTGGAACAGGAGTAAATTCAACACCTGGTTGACTCAACCAACTTTTTATTGTCACTGCAAAGGGACGGAATTTAAATTTCGTAAAAAAAAGCATTAATTTTTTTCTTTTCCTTAATCAAAAAACCATTCAAGCTTAAATACCCTAAATTATTTTCAAACAAACGTGACAAAATTGACTCTAACAATAAGCTCAAGATAGGATACCAAAATTTCTAGATACTGTTTAGACGAAGATCAAATTTGTATATGCAACAATTTCTATTAAAGTCTATAAGAGGGCTTATCCATGGAGTCTTCAAATCCTATTTAATTTATTAAAATAATTTGACATAATTATTTTAATTTGTTATTTCAATAAAGAAAAGAATAAAGATTTGCAATTTTTCTCGCTTAATGAGAATAAAATGTAATAACGTTGAATTTATGATCAATGTCACGTAACTCGATATGGGCAGTTAATGCCTCTGTGATTAAATAAATAAATATCATTTGCAACTAATTATAGTTGATGATAAGAGTTCATTTAGCAATAATTTTTTTTTTATCTTTTTTGGCCATAGCAAGTATAAAAATTTTTTGTGTCAATATTTATATTGGAAAAAATCTAGGTTTTAAAAATACCGAATGAGACTCTAAATCTATTATTTTTCTTTGGCTTCTTGAGACCCGCCAGTCCTCTTTCGCAATATATTGTTTTATTCATGGAAAACCAATTTAGTGCTGAATGAGCATTCTGTGTTTTTTTTTCCGGCCAGTGGAGTTCACGAATTTGATTGCTTTCCTGGGCTTTGGTTCTCTGTTTATTCTTTCTTTTCAAGTGAGGCAAAAAGTGGCGACCTAATAACATACCTGCACACACGATTTCAGAGAGGGCACGGAGTTTATGCGTGTCTATGATGAGGTTTCATTCAATATATCAGAGAAAGAGAACAAAAGAAAAGCCATTTTTAATATCGCTCCATGACTCAATACAAAATAAATTGCTGCTGGGCTAATAAAACGCAATAAAAGCAGCTCAGCGTCGTGTTTCCCGGTTTTTGCTTTGACTTTTTATGTTTGTGCCGCCTGAATAAACATTTATGTGCCGCCATGTGAGTGGCCACAAGTCAATTTCATGTCTCATGGAGTCGTATACCTGCACACGCGAATATGTTTATGAAAAATAAAATCTTTCTTTAATATTTTCATTTCAGGTTTTTTTTCAAGATTTTGTTACTTAATTTCAAACCAAAATTTATTATGTTCTTTAAAAAAAAAAAAATATGAAGAAAAGATTTAAAAATTCTTAAAAATATCTTGTTAATTTATAAATTTTATTCCATGTTTAAATTAGTTTGAAATAAAAAAAAATGTTCAGAAAAACTTCTGAAATTGCCAGTGGAAAGTTTGCAAAAGAGGCAGTGATTAGCATTTTTGCAGAGGAGCTTAAAAATAAATCATTTTGCAAACGCTCTGCGTCAGCCTCCAGTTATTTATTGATTAACGGAAAGTGTCACGCACAGGCAGCCAAAGCCAAGGGTTGTTTTTTTCTGGCCTGTTTGTTTTTCACACCTCATCCTGTCCCGCCAACTCTGTATAATGCTGTCCATTTTTATTCGCTCTCCGTCTCGCCACCCTGGTCCGTCACAAAAAAGTGCCGGGCAGCGTGCGACCAATTGCAGCCATTATTGAGCGCAAAAAGGATTGGTCCCGACGAATATGGGAAGCAAAATAGAACCGGATTTTCCTGAGCGCCCACCTCGCAAAGTAATGCAAATTTAATTTTTGGCCCCGACTTCCATTATCCGCTTGTGATTTTATTAAGGCGCTTGAATGTCGATTTTGATGGAGAAAGAGAGGCTCCGACCATCATTTGCAGGCCTTTATTGAAAATCAATTCTTTGCAGTTGATGTTCACCGGTGTGATAAAACTGAACAGGCTAAAAAAAATGATAAGAAACAAAAAATTATAATTTTGGAGATGAGTAAGGTAATTTTTACACAGCCAAATTCTGAAAACAATTCATTTTATAATAATTTAATTTCACTTATTAGTAGAATTTTTTTTTATAACGGTAACGCTAAAAAAGTTTTAAAAAATAGTTTTGCAATCTACAATTTTACCTGAAAAAGAACACAAGTTGTTTAGATCAAAACTCCAAGAATTAAAAAAAAAAATATTAAAATAAATAGAACTTTAAAAGTTCTTTTGGAATACATAGCAAAACTTTCAATAACTACATCAATTTGAATAAAATTCAAAAACAATTTGGCTTTTTACTTAATTTCTTATATCAAATTAAAAGAGGGGAGAACTTTCAGGATTGATGTTGCTAACTTATTTTAATCTTTCTCTTGCAATAAACAAGCAAAACAGCCTAGAGTTCAATTAATTCCGCGCAAAATGGAAAAAGTTAGGACTAATTCAATTTGCAGAGCCCTTTGATCTAATCGTTATGACGACAAATTAAAAAAATAAATGCAACAGTCGGTGCGCTGGCGAGACGGCTCTGGTCGTTTTGAAGGGACAAATTGAATTAGTCAAAGGGCAATAACAAAGGCGCCCTCATTCTAAACTCTGAAACTCTGTCCAGTCTCTCTCTGGCGGCACGACGATTTGCTCTTTTAATTAATGACCGTCAATTAAAAAACCCTTTCACACGCAGACGTGCAAAAGAGAGCGGTTTTCAAAAGTGCACACACGCGTTTTTTTCCGCATTCGCCCTTTCAGGCCCTAATTAAAAGAGAGCTGCGGCAGGTATGTAGTGAATGCAAGCGGATTTTTCCCTGCTCTAGCAGCGACTTCAAAGGGCGCGCTGCTGCATTTCTGTGTCGCAGAGCTGCATAAATGCATTTCATTAAAACCGCAAAACGATGCGGCGAATTATGGCGACATCTGCATGCGCGCAACTCCTCGCAATAATACACTAAATTGCAACGTTCAAATGCTAATCAGGAATTAATTCTGCACACAGCGCGCCAATTTAATAG